CAGTTCTCAGAGACACAACGCAGCAGCATTTGGACATCAATCCCATTTTTGCGGAAAATACCACACAGAGATAAACGCGGATTTTTAAAACTGGATATTTTCAGTTTATTCCTTCGCTTTTTTTTTTTTTACTTGCTGGTAAACACTGTTTTCAAGGGCTTGTTCCGGCTTTCGTCATGGCCGCATGCGTGTCGTCCACTAATGTGTAGCTGGCTGCCGGTTTTTGCAACGGTCGGACGAAGAATGACAAACGCAAATACCGAATCAATGAAGAAAAAACCTACGACGGGGCTTGCTCGTCCATCATCATTGGCACGCAGTAATAATAAAGGCTCTTATGCTCGCCAACAGGCGCAAACATCCGCCACTTTGCATTCTTTATAACCTTAGAGATGTGTAACAGCGTACTACGGGCATATTCGATCGTCGTGAAAATTGCGGCGAAGACCGATAAAACCCGTATCCAAGGAGAGCCTATATTATTGCGAAAATTTCTGCAACAACGGGCATTAAGAAAATTTATAGATACTTGTTCAGTTTGGTCAGTGCTTTTAGCTAGATTATTTATACCAGTGTCGTTCCCCAACCCAGACTTTTTTTGCTGGTCCGCGGGAAATTTTCTTCAGCACAGTTGATTTCTTAAAATTAGCAATGAAGTCTTATCTTCATCTGAATTTTCTGAATGATAATGACAGTTGAAATAACCTGATGAAAAAGGAAAGCTGGTGCTTCTCCTAATAACACTTCAGACATATTTTCACCGTCCTGTTGAAATAAATTATTTTAATTTTCATTCTGAGAAACCTTCCTTTATTCAAGCCGTCCTTTCTGATTTTCCTAAGACATCCCACTATAATAGCTGCTTCATTGGTTCTAAAATTATTTTTTAAGAACATTTTGTAATACCTGGCTTGAAGTCTTTCAAGCCACATTTTTTGAGTCTGACAAACTTTTCGGAAACTTTGCCAGTCCGCAAAAAAATTTTATGGAAAGTTGCCGGTCCGCAAAGGTTGAGGAACACATACTGCATAAGTCTGCTCAAGATGTTGTCCGCAAAAATTCTGTATTTACTATTCGAATGTATTCAGAGGCATCAATCATTTGTATAAATTCAAAAATTCATCCACTGACAATGTTTGTAAAAACATGATCATAAATTTATTCCACGGATGAAAGGTCCATTTCCATGGTCATGAAAATTTTTTCCGTGAATTCAAAACCCAGAAACTCCAGCTTGAAGAAGAATAACAACGCATATTTTCTGGAGAATTGAATTTTGACGAAAAAGAATTTCCATGACAAATAGAAGGCTTTATCCATTTAAAATTTATTTTTTCGAGACATAAAATATAAAATATATAAAATAGATTTCTTCACGATATCCGCGGAGAATGCTTCTGAAATCGAGTCATCATGAATATTTTCCACGAGGTTTTTAGCGGCTAACAATTTTACAGGATTGATTTGGGAGAAATTCGAGTAGAATTTCCTTAAAACGGAACTTTTCATGACAAATTCTTGTTTACAGCGAATGTTTTCCAGGCCGCAATGGCTTTATTGTAACGATATTTTACTGCATCACATGACGGCAATGCTTTCATATTCTGCGCATGACTTTCAATAAATAAAGACTATGTAGATTCAACGATAAGTTCAGCAACAAATTTTCAGTATGGTGTGAAACCTGCCTGAAAACCCAGACCATCGACCCATATTGGACATCATCAGACGCCCACACATTCATCACGCGGGAAATTTTCTTCAGCACAGTTGATTTCTTAAAATTAGCAATGAAGTCTTATCTTCATCTGAATTTTCTGAATGATAATGACAGTTGAAATAACCTGATGAAAAAGGAAAGCTGGTGCTTCTCTTAATAACACTTCAGACATATTTTCACCGTCCTGCTGAAATAAATTATTTTAATTTTCATTCTGAGAAACCTTCCTTCAAGCCGTCCTTTCCGATTTTCTTAAGACATCCCACTATAATAGCTGCTTTATTGGTTCTCAATTTAATTTCTTAAGAACATTTTGTAATACCTGGCTGAAAGTCTTTCAAGCAACATTTTTTTAGTCTTACAAACTTTTCGGAAACTTTGCCAGTCCGCCAAAAATTTGTATGGAAACTTGCCGGTCCGCGGATCCAAAAAGGTTGAGAAACACTGATTTATACTGCATAAGTCTGCTCAAGATTTTTTCCGCCAAAAAACTGTATTTACTATTCGAATGCATTCAGAGGCATCAATCATTTGTATAAATTCAAAAATTCAACCACTGACAATGTTTGTAAAAATTTATTCCAAGGATGAAAGGTCCATTTCCATGATCATGAAAATTTTTTGCGTGAATTCAAAACCCATAAACTCCAGCTTGAAGAAGAATAACAACGCATATTTTCTGGAGAATTGAATTTTTGACGAAAAAGAATTTCCATGACAAATAGAAGGCTTTATCCATTTAAAATTTATTTTTTCGAGACATAAAATATCAAGATTTCTTCACGATATCCGCGGAGAATGCTTCTGAAATCGAGTCATCATGAATATTTTCCACGAGGTTTTTAGCGGCTAACAATTTTACAGGAATGATTTGGGAGAAATTCGAGTAGAATTTCCTTAAAACGGAACTTTTCGTGAAAAATTCTTGCTTTCAACGAATGTTTTCCAGGCCGCAATGGCTTTATTGTAACGATATTTTACTGCATCACATGACGACAATGCTTTCATATTCTGCGCATGACTTACAATAAATAAAGACTATGTAGATTCAACGATAAGTTCAGCAACAAATTTTCAGTATGGTGTGAAACCTGCCTGAAAACCCAGACCATCGACCCATATTGGACATCATCAGACGCCCACACATTCATCGTGAAAAAGCAAATTTCGCCAGGTTTCGAAATTCGATGGAAGAGTTGCGCGATGGACGATTTTCATGGCGACGCCTTGAACGACCGATTAAATATTCAAGCAACTTTCCCTTCGCCCACTTTTCGTTGATTGGTTGAAAGACTGTTGAAAATGAGTCTATATAAAATGAGACATGCAAAGAAAAAAAAATGTAAGGCCTTCCGGCAGCAATCTTATGTGCTGGCCCTGAATAAAACAAACTTCCGACGAGGGATTATTTAAGCTTCGTACGTTGGACAGTAATTTCCTTGCACGCGTTAAGCTTCGATAATTCCGCGAAAACTTTATATTAGCACGTGTGAGTTTTATCAGCAGAAAACCCGGGAATCGAGCTCTGCTTCAAATACATTTTGGATGAAATTTGGCCAAAGTTTCCCAGCTGGAAAGTTGCATTTAAAAGCTCGTTCATCTTCGTCTTCCACTTTCTCTCAAAATCTCGGTTAATCAGACTGTGGAGTAATAACCAACACTTTTTATTCTTAGCCAATGATATTGTCATGTATTTTTGTGCGATTTTCTACGCCACATTTCCGCACGAATTCACGAAGATTTAAATTTAGAGTTGAAATTTTAGTGGTTATTGATAGGCAATCTTCTTATCATAGGAAGAAACAGACATTGTCTCAAAGTGTAATGATCAAAATCAATCCTTATAAGCAGCCATCTTTTCATGGAAAATAATTGCTCGGAAAAAGTTTGTGTCAAATGTGCACAAAAAGAGCTTAAATTAAGAGAACGAAAACTGTGATGGAAAAAAGGCTGACGGCATAAGACTTTTGATTCTGACCTTCTTGAAAGGTTTAAATAATTTTTGACACAGTTCCTCAGCAACGTGTCAAATTTCAGTTAAAAGATCAGGTGTTCTGCTTTTTAGTTTATTGAATTGAAAAAAAAAAGTTTGAATCAATCATGTTTGGCTCTTCAAGAGCTGCAACCCTTCTTATTTAAATATTCATGCCTCGAACAGCAAAGGCAAAAGCTGATTTCTCGAGTTGGGTTCGCGTGGGAGATGCAGCAGACTGACGAAAATTTAAAAAACCTGTTTTTTTTTCTCAGAGAAACTCTGTTGTTTTTCCTTATTTATTCATATTTCTTCAGATTTTCTCTGAAAACCCATAACATCCATTACACCACGTAAATAACTTAGGTACCATTCCGCTTTCCTACCGCTGCACGGATTTGGTATTTCCAAAAAGGTCACGACGGACATATTTACTTTTGTCCCACAGGATTACTGGGAATAATAAAGCAATCTTTCCGCTGTAAACAGAGAATCGTCATACAGGTCCATGATTCTTTGATGTATTTGCTAAATATTTACCCGGAACAAAAACCTTATTGCGATGCACAATTTTTTTTTTTACAAAATGAAGAGGGCTCTTTGACGTCATTGAATGAAGACGAATATTCTTGCGAATATATGTGCATTACAATAGATTATTTCTCTTGGCTAACGTCATCCTTTAAACACTAAAAATTGTTTGCCATTAGCACTCAAAAATGCTCATTTCCATCCTGTTGAAATAATCGCGGCTCATTTAAAAATGAATCATCAAGAGTTGATCTGAAACGAATCGATCTTCAATTGTGAATTCATCGAAAAATAAAACAGACTAAGGTATCTGACACTCAAGGAAAAACCTTACGCATCAAATATTTTTTTATGGCTCTAAAACCCTTTTGTAGAGTTATCAGCACGCGTATTTGAATAAAATTCTGTATACAAGGAAGAACATTGTTAACCTCATTATTCTTCCGACGGTTGAAGAAGTTTATAGAGTAATTGTCTCAATTCTGCGCGACTTTGACTGAATCAAGTGCAGTTGGGCGATTTTCCCCCTTTTTTTGCAGTCGACAGAGAATTCCTTCGACTTTTCAGAGGCACATCAGTAGTTTCCCCTGTCATTAATTATTCTAAACTAAATAAAATTTCTTTTTCAAGAATCGGGATTTCTGATTATCCGCCCAGAGACAATTACACATCATTATATCCCGGATAATCCGAGGTTCTGCCGCGAAACGGTATCAATAATTTTTTGTAAAGGAATAATGGCATAATTGAAAATTATGGAAATGAAAAAGCACCGCGTTTCCACCTCAAATCGGAACGTTAGATTTTATTTTTCCGAGAATAACCAGATGTAGCAGCAGCTCCACACACACGATCTCCACCCATCAACCACATCCAACGAATCGTTGATTTAACAAGAACCACGTACGATTCGAGTGGTGTCAAATAAAACAACATTCTTTCGAAACGAATGCAACGGCAGTTGAACACACAAAATGACTACGTGAATCGACTCTTATCGGCTTACACAGTATTCCATCCCTCTTTCGTGAACAGCAGCTTGATTAAGTGCTAATAAATCTTCCTCACTCGCGAATCCCTTTTCTTCTTCAAGCACCGATTAGTGGAATGAAACATTCCCTCAAACCCAGAAAATGAACCGAAAAAAAATCAAAACGGATCGTAGAAAAGAATAAAACTCACAGCAAAGTAAACTCGTGTTTGGAAAGAACGAAAGACGAATTAAGATCACGATATTATGAGAAACGCTGACGTATACGTGACTGTGTGAGCACTTAGTGGGACTTTTCCGAAACAAATTCTTTTTCCAAAGCCGAATCGAGGCATCTATATAAATTCAAGAGCAAAAAAAAAAATGCAATCGAACAGTCAATCTTGTATAATCTGCTACAATATGGGCAAAATTTTTCCAAATTATAGTAATGTATTCTCGAAGCGGAAAAGAAAGCGAAGACATTCTCACTCGCTTGGGCTTAAATAATGAGTTCGATCGTTGAACGACGGAATCGAAAGAAATTCGCATTCGTATCCCTTTTCTTTCCATCCTTCTAAATCAAAACGCAATTGTTTTCATGGCAGCCAAGGTTCCAAACTTTCTCTTTGAACAAGCGTTCAACTTTTCTCCATAAGTTGGAAAATTTCCTTTGACAAACTCTTCTTCTCCGGAGATTTTTTCCAGTCTTTCTTTTTTTTCTTGTCTTCCTTCACCAGTTATCGCCGCGGCCAGCAGTGTGTTTCGTATATCTTGCAACAGCCAGGAACGAGATGAGAATTTTGATGCCAGATTGAAGAATTACATTGCGCAATAGAGATTAGGTCATATTAATTCATGCTGAGAACACCAGCACCCATGCCATAGCCGACTCCTTTGATGCCAAATTTGGACTGGTAGTGACCCTTGCAATAGATTTCTTTGTCGGCTCCATCGCACAGATTCGTCGAGTCCAGTGACTTGTGGCACTCGGCGCAGTTGAAACACCGTTTATGCCATGACTGAAATAATTAACAATTAAAAAATCACAATTATCTTGAGATGGAAAGCTGATGGTACTGTATATATGATACAGCGTAACTCCGATTCTCCGGTAGAATACTCTCGATTATTTCGTGCCGTTGTCAGGATGTGCGAAAATCAGAAATTTAATCAGATACAAAACCAAAAAAATTTACGGAAAAGGCGAGGAATGCAACAATTAACTGGTATTATTATCAATATTACTGCAAAATCTAGAAGCTTTTCAATGCGGGTAATTAGTGCAGGATGACAAAAAAAGCTATGGAATCAAAATTATCAACACCCCTTGAAACATAAAAATTCGAAAGCAAAATCTGGTTGATTGAAGCCAATAATCTGAAAATGTATCTGGTACATGCAGGTGGTACCTCGCAATTCAACCTCTCGCAATTTGACTGTCCCGCAATTTGATGATTGATTTGGAAGGAGGTTGACTTGCAATTGTACCCTTGCCAAATGATAAATTTGACCTGCTTTGGCCACTTTTTTCCCATTTTTGTTCTTATATTTTTGAATTTCAAAGAGTGTCTCGCAATTCGACCGATTCAAAATTCGACCCTAGTTTGGCAATGGATTAAAGGGTCAAATTGCAAGGTATACCACCTGTACACCCAATTGTCGCATTGTAATTTAAAATTACCATAATCATGAGTTCTCAGAATCTTTTTTTGCGGGAAAAGTTTGGTTATCAAATTAAAATTTTATTTTAGCGACGTTGCTGTCACATTTTCACAAGCATTCATTTTTAAATTTATTTAAATCAAATTTCCAAGTTTATTTATTTAAATCAAATTTTTAGATCAAACTCGTTAAAAATTAAAAATTTCGGCTTATTTGATGATTACGAGTTAATTGAATGGTTAATTATTCTGATGAATTCTGAATTCGTTGTGAAAACTATCCATTTTAGCTTTTGCTCAAAAACTCAAAGTAATCACAAAAAAGAAGAAGAAGAAGATAGTGAAGAAGAACCAAGCTTTCTCACTTTCGAGTAATTATATTAATTGCACTTACTCGTCCATGAGAAATCATCATCTCAGCCGAATAGACCGCGTATCCGCAACGGGGACAGCCTTCGCCGGGTGGTGCTTTTGGTCCACCGGCAAATACGTTACCCCCTTCGATCCTGAAATACAAATACATGCTTGAAAAATTAACGAAAAAATGAGAATGTCGTGGTTGTGATTTAGAACGACTTCTGGGCCATTCCCTGTGCAGGATGCGATGACAATCCACTTGAATATATATTTGTCTCGCGGGCGGAGTCAGATTTACGATCATGGTGGAAGTACGTATTCCTGACCGAAATCTTCTTGACAAAGCTATCCAGAATTCGCAATCTAAGCAGGCACCCTGTTATTTTGATCAAGACTTCGGTACGATTGACTGTTTAAATTGAGCTTTTCTCGCAAATTATAAAAAGAAGACAACTCGAACATTTCCGACGAAGAAATCAAGCGCGGAATATGCGTGCTGCTGATGAGCAACGCAACAAAAGTACAGCATTTTACCCTGAATTTTCGCTTTCCATAAATACATCAGCAGTAATATTATCTTAATACTCAGTGATTTTCCACATTTATGGCTTGAGGAATTTCCAAGTTCCGAATCTTTGGACCTGAATCTTATTTTTGTAACTCTGGGAAGCCTACCCGAACACAAATTTCGTACATGAGCAGAAATCTAATATTCCTGGATAACTAAAAATATGAAAATTAAATTCAATCTCGTCTCGATAATTATTTTTCTAAAGGTTCCCATCAGTCAGAGCTTCGCAGAGTTGAGGATGAGAATATCGGCCTCAGTTTTTATGACACTGCTGCCGATTCGTGAAAATTTTTTTTTAAATATAGTATTTCTTCTTCTTTACGATAGTAATAAATTACTCACGGAGCTGCAGAAACGCCTTCGGTACCAGACACGAGTGTTGGCGTACTTCCGTAACCGAATCCCTTGGGGCCGTAATTTTTGCCGTAGCAGGGCTTGCAAAAAACTTCTCGGCCCGGGGCATCGCAAGCATTGATCGAGTCCAAGGGTCGGTGGCATTCTTTGCAATTGAAACACTTCTTGTGCCAGACCTAGATTTACCGTAATTTTTGCCGTAGCAGGGCTTGCAAAAAACTTCTCGGCCCGGGGCATCGCAAGCATTGATCGAGTCCAAGGGTCGGTGGCATTCTTTGCAATTGAAACACTTCTTGTGCCAGACCTAGATTTATTTTTTTTTCAACAACAAAAATACAGTATTAGATTCGCAAAGCACACCGCCCGCGTTCGATGTCGAGAAAAGAAGCCCAAAAAGTTCCATCTCGATGAAAACCATATACGCTGACTTTCTGCATTACATGAAAACAGTCGCAATATGTCATGTTTTAGGTTTGTGCACGGAATTTGAAATTTAATCAAAAGCAGAATGTTGTTCCTTTTAACTTACCGTATTTATCGGTTAATGAGCAATGATCCATGCAAGATTACTCTGCCTTTTCAACTTGAAAGCATTCAAATGGCTTTTTGTTCATGTATGTATAATATTCCCAATTAAATTTAAGAAAACTCTGAAAAGTCAGTTATTGAGCCCGTTAAAAACATATAATTCACAAATTAAAAGCATTGAACATCACCAGGATATTAGCATGGATTTTTATTTTTATTTTGCGACTGAATGGCGCTAAATACTGTATTTTTTGAATCCATTTGATAATATTTAGGATACCTTTTAAAACTTCATCGTAAGCTTACAAAGAGCATCTCTTTGACATGCGATATGTTTAGCACAGGATTATTTTTTTTCGCCTTTATAGCAAGATAGACCAGCGCCATTTTGGAAGATCGCTTATATTTGACCCAGAACCAGGAAATAAAAGCAGAAATTTCTCGATAACTTCCATCATTCGCACGATCGCATCCCATGAGATTTCACTTAATTCACAGGCTGAATATTTTCTGTACGCATCTGTTAATACTAGAGAATTACTGGTACTATACTGCAATTACGGTATTTTTGTCTTAAATTTTAGGGATAATTGGCGAGATTGACTCACGCTTCCTTTGGCAAGCATTTGTTCGGCGGCGAAAACAGCACCACCGCACCTTGGGCAGTTTTGCTCGGAAGATCCTTTGATTGCTGCAGTGTTCATTGCTTCCGGTGGAATCCACCTTGGTTGACCTGACATCATGTCAACCGATTCCTCGTTTCTGCAGTAAAAAATATCGATAAATTACTGCTCATCGGGGTTGATGACTAGAGATTTTGAAAGTATATATAACCCTGTGTGGTATACAATCGAATACTGTACTGGGTTTTTGTTTTGTTTAATATTCCGCAGATGGGCACTTTGCTAGGATGAACTTTGTGATATACAGTATTTCCCGAATTTTAGCATTGCTTCAAGAGCATTAGCCTGGATAATTAATCAGTACAAGGGACACTTGTAATGTGTATCAAATAAAAGTTGAAAATACGCAATCGAATACTGTACTGCGTTTTTTTTTTTGATTCCGCAGATGGAAACTTTATTCCGCAGATGCAAGGATGAACTTTGTGATGCAGTATTTCCCGAATTTTAGCATTGCTTGAAGAGCATTAGCCTGGATAATTAATCAGTGCAAGGGACACTTGTAATGTGTATCAAATACAAGTTGAAAATCCGCAAATTTCAAAGAGTGTCTCGCAATTCGACCGATTCAAAATTCGACCCTAGTTTGGCAATGGATTAAAGGGTCAAATTGCAAGGTATACCACCTGTACACCCAATTGTCGCATTGTAATTTAAAATTACCGTAATCATGAGTTCTCAGAATCTTTTTTTGCGGGAAAAGTTTGGTTATCAAATGAAAATTTTATTTTAGCGACGTTGCTGTCACATTTTCACAATCATTCATTCTTAAATTTATTTAAATCAAATTTCCAAATTTGTTTATTTAAATCAAATTTTTAGATCAAACTCGTTAAAAATTAAACATTTCGGCTTATTTGATGATTACGAGTTAATTGAATGGTTAATTATTCTGATGAATTCTGAATTCGTTGTGAGAACTATCCATTTTAGCTTTTGCTCAAAAACTCAAAGTAATCACAAAAAAGAAGAAGAAGATGATAGTGAAGAAGAACCAAGCTTTCTCACTTTCGAGTAATTATATTAATTGCACTTACTCGTCCATGAGAAATCATCATCTCAGCCGAATAGACCGCGTATCCGCAACGGGGACAGCCTTCGCCGGGTGGTGCTTTTGGTCCACCGGCAAATACGTTACCCCCTTCGATCCTGAAATACAAATACAGTACATGCTTAAAAAATTAACGAAAAAATAAGAATGTCGTGGTTGTGATTTAGAACGACTTCTGGGCCATTCCCTGTGCAGGATGCGATGACAATCCACTTGAAGATATATTTGTCTCTCGTGCGGAGTCAGATTTACGATCATGGAGGAAGTACGTATTCCTGACCGAAATCGTCTTGACAAAGCTATCCAGAATTCGCAATCTAACCAGGCACCCTGTTATTTTGATCAAGACTTTGGTACGATTGACTGTTTAAATTGAGCTTTTTCCGCAAATAATAAAAAGAAGACAACTCGAACATTTCCGACGAAGAAATCAAGCGCGGAATACGACCTGCTGCAGATGAGTAATGTAACAAAAATACAGCATTTTACCCTGACTTTTCGCTTCTCATAAATACACTTCAGCAGTAATATTATCTTAATACTCAGTGATTGTCCACCTTTATGGCTTGAGGAATTTCCTAGTTCCGAATCTTTGGGCCTGAATCTTTTTGTAACTCTGGGAAGCCTTTTTTTTTTTTAATATAAATTCAAATTTCTGCGCCTTTATATCGATTGATTTTCTATTGCGAAGCCTACCCGTACACAAATTTCGTACATGAGCAGAAATCTAATATTCCTGGATAACTAAAAATATTGAAATTAAATTCCATCTCGTCTCGCAATTATTTTTCTAAAGGTTTAATGAAAGGTTCCCATCAGTCAGAGCTTCGCGGAGTTGAGGATGAGAATATCGGCCTCAGTTTTTATGACACTGCTGCCGATTCGTGGCAATTTTTTTTTAAATATAGTATTTCTTCTTCTTTACGATAGTAATAAATTACTCACGGAGCTGCAGAAACGCCTTCGGTACCAGACACGAGTGTTGGCGTACTTCCGTAACCGAATCCCTTGGGGCCGTAATTTTTGCCGTAGCAGGGCTTGCAAAAAACTTCTCGGCCCGGGGCATCGCAAGCATTGATCGAGTCCAAGGGTCGGTGGCATTCTTTGCAATTGAAACACTTCTTGTGCCAGACCTAGATTTTTTTTTCAACGACAAAAATACAGTATTAGATTCGCAAAGCACACCGCCCGCGTTCGATGTCGAGAAAGGAAGCCTAAAAAGTTCCATCCAGATGAAAACCATATACGCTGACTTTCTACATTACATGAAAACAGTCGCAACATGTCATGTTTTAGGTTTGTGCATGGAAATTGGAATTTAATCAAAAGCAGAATGTTGTTCCTTTTAACTTACCGTATTTATCGGATAATGAGCAATGATCCATGCAAGATTACTCTGCCTTTTCAACTTGAAAGCATTCAACTGGCTTTTTGTTCAAGTATGCATGATATGCCCAATTAAATTCAAGAAAACTCTAAAAAAGTCAGTCATTGAGCCCGTTAAAAACATCTAATTTACAGATTTAAAGCATTGGACATCACCAGGATATTAGCACGGATTTTTATTTTTATTTTGCGACGGAATGTCGCTAAATACTGTATTTGTTGAATCCATTTGATAATATTTAGGATACCTTTTAAAACTTCATCATAAGCTTACAAGAGCATCTCTTTGACATATGCGATGTGTTTAGTATAGAATTTTTTTTTTTCGCCTTTAGCAAGATAGACCAGCGCCATTTTGGAAGATCGCTTATATTTGACCCAGAACCAGGAAATAAAAGCAGAAATTTCTCGATAACGTCCATCATTCGCACGATCACATCCCATGAGATTTCACTTAATTCACAGGCTGACTATTTTCTGTACGCATCTGTTAATAATAGAGAATTACTGGTACTATACTGCAATTACGGTATTTTTTGTCTTAAATTTTAGGGATAATTGGCGAGAATTGACTCACGCTTCCTTTGGCAAGCATTTGTTCGGCGGCGAAAACAGCACCACCGCACCTTGGGCAGTTTTGCTCGGAAGAACCTTTGATTGCTGCAGTGTTCATTGCTTCCGGTGGAATCCACCTTGGCTGACCTGACATCATGTCAACCGATTCCTCGTTTCTGCAGTAAAAAATATCGATAAATTACTGCTCATCGGGGTTGATGACCAGAGATTTTGAAAGTATATAACCCTGTATGGTATACAATCGAATACTGTTCAGCGTTTTTTTTTATATTCCGTAGATGAACTTTTTGCGAGGATGAAATTTGTGATACAGTATTTCCCGAATTTTTGCATTGCTTCAAGAGCATTAGCCCGGATAATTAATCAGTGCAAAGGACACTTGTAATGTGTATCAAATACAAGTTGAAAATACGCAATCGAATACTGTACTGCGTTTTTTTTTTTTTATTCCGCAGATGGAAACTTACGTTCCTACTTGAAACACTACGTCATAAAGGGCTTAAAATCGTAACGAACTTCTCGTAATCGGACCTATTAATTAGTCACGTTCCCTGTGAACATTACACATAGTTTATGTTCAACTTTTAGGCGTTGCCGTTTTCTCCTTGCCTCTCATTCAATCTAAAATTGAAAATAAGGCTTCGTTGAATTAGAGTTCTCTCTGCGCGAATTTCAACCCATGTCAAATTTCGGTCGTCGATTGATTGGGATTTGATAATCAACCGATGAAGAATGCCCCTTGATCGAGCTACTCACTGAATAACATCCGTTTGCAAGAAACCAGCGCCTCCGCCAAAACCGTAGCCTTTCGGGCCAAATTTTTTGCCGTAACACGTTCTGCAGTAAATTTCCTTATCGGGTCCGTCGCAAGCGTTGATTGAGTCAAGCGGCTTTCGGCAGGAGTTGCAATTGAAGCATTTCTTATGCCATACCTGAGCATCACGTCAAAAAATTAAAGCACAAATGAATAAGTTAAAAACACAAACATTTCAAAAAATGTCTCCCTTCCTTCATATTGCGCTGTTATTCCTGTACAACAATGTTTTATTCATTCATTTCCAATGTCAATGAAATCAAGGAATTTACCTTGCTGTAAAACACTGTCCTTCAATAAGTCAGGGAATTATTTTTGACGTGCGTCTAGTCTGTAGAACCTTTTATAAATTGAATGAATTTTGACACAAAAAATCTCCCCCAATATCCCACAACCGTTTAAGTGGAAGTTAACCGACACAAAGAGCAAAATATTGCTTTCATATATCAATCTAACCGTAATTTTCTTCGAATTTACTTGATCCCTGCATATATATTCCATGGATCGCAGATTCCTTCGAATTGATGTTCACAGAATTTTTATTTTTTTGAATGAGGCGCATAAAACATTTTTACCAATTTAAAGTGATGGTGATTATCAAAAGTGGGATTAGGATAAATCAGCCGTATTTCAGTATCCTGGTGTTTGAAAATCGTCTCTGAAACATATGGAAGAATATGCGCCCCTGATTTATTTGCAAGATTGACGATTCGCGTTTATAAAGAACAGCTGATTGTTGATTTTATCATCTAGATTCATCATCTATTTATATAGAATAGTAATCATTGTGTTTAAAAATTGTACTGTGTTGTGCATTCAATCGAAAAATAAAAGCTGTTCCGCCAACTATCATCAAATGAAATGAAATGTCATGGTCGTTCCATAAAGCAATAAAAATACTGTTTTTGGAACGGGATTCTTCGTTTTGAATTACGGTATGACATTTTTTTACATTTTAATCCCGAGAGAATTACCAGTATCACTCACACGATGATGAAATTTATATTTCAATCATTTCTCCGCTTGTCGTATAAAGTTATAACCCAAATGGGATCCTTCGTTGATATTTTTGTAATGAAGTGCTGTATTTTGCGCGCCGTTCATACTTGTATAGGTCAAGAATAACCAAGTTCCATCACAAAGTTTAGAAGCATCACTATTGAAAAGGTGGACAGAGGACACTTACCGAACCTTTAGCCAACATTTGCTCGGCTGCGTAAACCATTCCTCCGCATCGCGGACATCCTTCGCCTGCGGGGGCTTTAATGGACGCTTCCAGGTTTTTGCTCGGACGAACGAACTCGGCACGCTGCTCACTGGAAAATTGACAAGATCCACTTTCGTTTCACATTCGAATCAAGGGATATTTTCCAAGAAAAAAACAGTTACCCATTCACGACGTCTGACTGCAAAGCACCAGCGCCACCTCCGAACCCGTATCCTTTGGGTCCAAATTTCTTGCTGTAGCACACTGATGCGAAAAAGAAAACAAGAGATATGAAGGGGATTACGTGTGTGTCAAGGGATTTGCATTGTTTAAAATGTCATCAATTTTGAAAATAATTCCCGAAAGAACAATTTTTGTTTCAAATTGATCATAGGAAATCTCCTGCTTACTTCAGACTTATATTTTTATATACTGTATTTTTTTTTACAAAACCTAAACATATATCCTCAATAAGAATACTGTAGTCGACTTACATTTGCAGTAAACTTCGCTGTCGGGTCCATCATTATGCAGAGTGGAATCGAGTTGTTTCGTGCACACGCGGCACTTGAAGCAGTGTTTGTGCCATGGCTTCAATAATACCGGAAATGAAGGGAACATACATTAAAATTTTTAAAATGCGCGGACTTGAGAGTGAAATAAATTCGTCAAACTCGTGTCAATCAAGAGTCCCAGCAACACGATGAAACGTTGTATGGTATCCTTGAAATGTGAGAACTGTTATTTACAGAATTTCCGTTCGATTCATTCGAGGAACACGAAACAAAGCAGAAAGATCGGGTATTCTGGTATAATTTGGATATAAAATTAATCAGGTATCTTTCTAGATAAATTTTAAAATAAACTCTTGATTACTCGTGCAATATGCCTATTATTAATCTTTCCTGTGTTCCACGTGAAGAATAACGAGGAACACATTTCGCTGCATCGGACATTTTCGGAACTGAAGATTTATCATCAAGACTTAGGATAGGGCTTCATGAAATGTCAATATTTGCTTAGTTGGCGAGGAGTCGGAAATATTGATGCATTATTATCTTTTTTAAGAAAATACTGTGGCATTGATTTATATCAGTGGTACCCTGATGATGTGGTTTGGCATGTGCTTCTCTGTTTTTACTCAAATTTCAACTGATGATGCAGCTTCGCATACTACCCGAAATCTTCCCACAACCTTTCTAAAAGTATACCACATTTATTGCAAGAGTCGGAGAGACCCTCATAGGTTCAAAGCCCCGGGAATTAGAGCACTAAGACCTCTTATTCTGAACTTTGCTTATGTTTTTAAAGAATTTTTATACAGTTGAACCTTGATAACTCATGCCTAAACTTAAGTCAAATACTTCCCTACGTGGATTTTTTGCATGTCCCTCTCTAAATTCCCCCAGATACAATGCAATAAAAACATTCCTTACTCGAAGGCTTTCCCCCTCAAACCTCCATGAATCGAATTTCCTGGAGGCGTTTTGGTTGACGCAGGAAAGAGAAAAGGAATAAAAATTAAATTCCTGTACTTTAGATCTGTTTAAAAAGGAAATGAAAAAACTAATTGGGCAAATAAACCCATGCCTCAAACGTCAGCAGCCTGTCAGTTCATCCAAGATCCCAAGAAGCAACTTGAGGCCTAGAATATCATTCATTACAATTTTCTTTTCTTTTTTTCCCAACAAAAATTATTGTTTCCCTGAAGTGAAAACCTCCCTATAACTCGATGTTTTCTCCCACTCTTTTGAAATTCTGGATTTTTGTTGCTGTTGCTGATCTCTTGAAGATTGACTTTAAGAGGTTTGACTGCAGTTTAAAAATGTGCATGATTCTTCTGGGATTTACCCTTCCTTTCGCCAACATCTGCTCGGCGGCGTACACGAAACCACCACAACGAGGACAGCCTTCGCCCGGAGGCGCGGGAATGACCTTCACAGTGGTTGGTGCCTTTGGCGTTGGTGCCTCATCCCTGTATAGAAAAAGAAGAAAAAGTATATTTTACTACTTCAGTATCATGCATGAGTTTTGGCAATTAGGGATCACAATGTGCTGAGTTTCGGATGACTTGTTTGCTTCGATGACGGTCCTTCTGGAGAAATTGAGACAGTCCTCGAATCCTCAAGCAAAAAAAATACATTGGAGGATCTAATAACGGGTTTCTTTCATTTGTATTTAAACATGCACAAAAGAGTGAAAATAAGATGCTCTCATATATTATTTTTATTTTAAATACTGCAATTTAGCTATGCCAATTGTGTCGTCCAATGATGGAATTCGAAAATTTGGCACGAGAAATATTTATGACCGCTTAAAAAATTTATGGGAATGATTGGTTTCATTTTTTGTTGTTGATCGATTGAAGCAGAGAAGGTGAAAACATGTATGCCTTGAAATCCTTTCAGTTGGCGGAATAATTTAAACATGTAATCGAATTTTATTTCTAATAAAGAAATAACAGACATATTCTGTTTTGGTCCAGTAGAAATAATAATTTTCCAAGAAACTCACTCGCATGAAACCTGCGAATCCCATTTCGCAGATGGTAAAGAGGCGTTAAAAAGTGAAAAAAAAAATTATATTTCAATAACGGTACTTTCCAAGGGTTCGCAATCCGATTTCGTTGGCTACAAAACTATTGACTGATTTTTAAAGAACGAATTTACACATTCCGAGCAGTCATGCATCCACATGACGTGTGCAAACTGCTTTCTTAACATAATTTGCAGAAAGAAAGCGTTCATACCGACGAGCAGTTCCGTCATCATCATATACACAGTGCATCCTAATTTCAGCACCTGGACGCAACTCTGTGGGTATAGTACAGTACATCAAGCAAAAAAAAACTCTGAAAGTTGTTTATTTTCTTGTTAGCCTATAACCTCGACGCAAAACTTCCGCAACAACAACAAAAAATCATCTTGAGAGGAAAATTGGGGATTTTTTGCTCGCTTTCGTGTAGGAAGCAGAGCAGATGAGGAGACGAACGAGAACGCGGAAGCTGGAGCTCATTTTTTCGTTCCAGGTGGTTTCTGGTCGTCGAGTGACCTCGTTCGTCAGTGAGTCACACAAAAGCGAGGGCGCAGAGGGAAAAATCGGATCGAGGTCGCTTGTATCCCTCATCCTTTCCAGCAGCACGTGAGAGGGCGAGTGAAGGACGTGAGGAATATAAGGTGAGGCGGAAGGAATAACGCACAACATTTTTTCTTTTCTTTCTGGCATCTTTTTATTCAATGTATTCTGAGGGAAATTACGCGAAAGAGGAATACAAATTTAATTACCGGATTCATTATCTAGTGTACAGTATATGGAAAAATGAATGTCATGAGAGGCATCAATTCGAGAAGTAATCGGATACTGTATATTGTTTTTCTCTCTCGTAGCAACGTTTGAGTCGATTGACTACAATGAAACTTACTTGCCAATTTTTTGATGGCATCAATTTTTCTCAGATATGACTGTGTTTAATATATGAATGAGGTTAGAACATTATTGCCGTAATACGTACATTTTGTGCTTCTGTGCAGCTGAAAGCGCTTGCGACACGAATTAGAATTGTTCTGTCTTGATTGACAGTTTTCGGTTCTACTCGTTATTACAGTATCTTGAAACTAAATAAGTGAAAATTTTGTATTAAAAACTACTCTGAATTATAAACTCCAGACTTAATTTCAAATGTTGAGGCATAATGAGTGGCTGGTTGAGAATCATTAAAAGGCATGTGAAACTAGGAAAAACCTAGTGGTTTAGTAACCCATCAATTTCTTAAAAGAAAGCAGCATGCGACAAATTTCTCTAGGAGCTCTTACTAATTGTTAATGTCATTAAGTCATTTACTTGAACAAAATTCGAGGGAGCATTTTGTAAACTTTGATTCAACATACGCTTCTTCATTTTTTCAAGACAGTTATCGTATGTTTTGAAAGAAATGCATATTTATTGATTCAAGAAATTTTTTCTCAAGTTTCCCGTGATATTTAAAATCTCTGATACTGTGGCACATTAGAAATGGAAAATTTCAAGGAAATTCTAGTTTTAACTTGAAATCCTCTCATTTGATTTTTATAAGAGAAACATATTTTCAAACGCTTGCTTCCTTCAGGTTTGTGAAACGATGGATAAGGTTTTTTCTGCGGGATTTTCAGCTTTTTTGCATTGATTAGTTTTTTGAAACAGAAGTGCATATTCGCCGGCCACGAGGATATGGTCTGAATTAGATTCGACAAAATTAAATTTGCCTCGCTAATGTTTCCAGAAAATATCCCGGTTTGAGAGTAAAGAATTTTTAAGTTAAGGAAGAGTTTAAAAAATTCATTCGACCCAGTTTCTTCGGATTTCACAGAGGAACGAGGGATTCATCTAAACTAAAAATAACATGAGAATGGAGAGGGAACTAGATTAGACGAGGTTTTTTGTCGTTTACATTTGTTTCAAAATAAATGCTCTCTCGTTGAGGAGACAAATGAGGACGCGAAACTCTTTCAACTGCATACCTGTTTTCTCTGACAAACTGGTGAGAAAATTAAGAAACAGGTGCAAGTCTCGACAGTGTTTAAGTGCCTAACAACGGTATTTGCACCACAGTGTTTGGTACCAAACTTCTTATTAATCTACAAGCTGACTTGGACTAAGAGCTCAGAATAAGTCTTATCGTATCTTTGGAAGCAACGATCCTTGAGATTAAAGTGTTTCGTACTTCGTTAACTATACAGTATTAAAAAATAAAAATCCGCCAAAATAAAACGACATTTTATCTGAGAGATTACACGAATTTTAGTAGAAAACTTCGCCCTAAAAGTTTGCATTATTTGTTTGAAATATTTCAAGTCTACCAGCAAATCGCATCTGCTCACCGTTGAAAAAAAATAGGGAAACTGTTTATGAAGCGCCTTCATTTCAAATAATGTTTCAAATTTTCATTGGCTTCAATATCTCAGGGATAAAATAAATCTGTTCAAGTTACAAAAGTATAAAGCAAGTTTCGGTTGCGAATTCCTGAATCTTATTCCAGGGCAAGATGATGCTCGACCCATGAAAAAAGTGTCTGATAAACAATGTATAAATGGAATTTAAAAATTTTCCTATACTTTCATGAATGGGTCGCATTTTTATGTTAAAAAAGAACTTTTTGGTGAGCGAAATATTTTCATTTGAAATTCTACGGCCACTGATCAATGTCAAAGCTTTCTCCCAAGACCCTGATAATTAACATTTATTGGAACATTCGAGGGTCATTAAGATCATAATTATAAGTTCGTGATATTTTCCGAGATCACTAGCAATCTCGGTAAGTGTTGAGTCATAATTTATTTGTGGTGAAGAGGGGGGTTTTATTCATACCCTCTCTTGTTTAAAAGTTCCACGGTAGGTTTGGCCATTGCCTCAACAATTAACGCTGAAAAAGTCATGTTTATTAATTTAGAAAGTCCGTGCATTCGATTATTTTAATGCGTTTTGAAGGCAGGGTGCAATCTGTGCAGCGCAATTGAGGTTTTTCGCTTAAAAAAATACTAATTAAGAGAAAACTAACTGCAGAGTTTTGATTAGTCCGTTACGGCCCGCGCAGGAGTTCTTTATTCGATTTCCGCAGCATACGATACAAATGAACGACGATTGAGTGCATGGAAGGTAAACAAAAAAAAATCGAAGAAAATTAAGATGAAAAGAAAATCGAACAAGAAAAAAAAAGGCCATCACGACCCAACGTCGACGACGATGAAACGGAAACCAGGACGTGAAGTTCCTTTCCTCTGCTTTTCTTCGAGAAACGCAAGACTATTTCCGGACGCGGTCGGAGGCGATTGCCAAGAAAGCGACAGCGAGAAAGACGGTTAAAAAATATTCCAACTGCATTTTTTCGTTTTTTTTTGCTAGAAAAAAAAAAACATTACGCAGTCTCTCTATATCTCTCTTTCTTTCTCTTTTTCTCGCTCTGTTTCCTTACCTCATTTACTCTTCGTTTCTTTTTTTAAACCTCAATCGTTACAACCAAGCTTCCGTTTTTTTTTATGTTTTCCTCTGAGACCTCACAAGCTCGCTGAATGTTAGTATAGAATGTTAGTACAGCTTCTTTTTTCAAGCTATATCCGCATCTCTTGCGCTTTGAGCTCTCATTCATCCCCTTGCTCAATTCACGAGTGGATGGTCCATAAGTTTTGAATTTTTTGTTGCCGATAAATAAATATGGATTTCTTTCCAGCGCTCATATATAGAAAGCTTTTCAGTCACATCACCTCTTTTCTTTCGGAGAGAAGCATGTCAATATACTGCTGTTCAATATGATTTCGGAAAAAACGTTGTTCTTCTTTCCTGATCGAGAAAGAATTCAAGCGGCATTTATCAAGTTGAGCGAGAATTCAACGGGGTTTCAAGTCGAGAATGGATCGGGAGGAAAATTGCAAAAATCTTTGGTAACTGACCATCAGAACTTGTGGACCATTCCTCGTCTATCTTAGACCCACAACATCAACAAAGAAATGTGTGCGACCAAAAAAGAAAAAGAAAACCAGTGGATGAACCAGAAAACAAATGTGAATCGCGTGGCGAACAAGTTGCGGCGACAAAGCGATGCGACGATTGAGTTGGCACCAGGCGTGGTTTTCGGCGACACTTATTCGTCACTTCGGCCCGGGGTCAAATCATACTGTCGAAGATGGTTTGTTTCTGCAATGGGACACGGGATAATAAGCAAAGACTCAAGTATTATGAAAAAAAGAAACAAAACAAAACAAAAAAACAGAAGAAACCTGGTACCAGTAGAGAAAGAGCGAAAGAAGGAAAGACTGGTCAGTGAAGATTGGAATATCAGTGAGTATATCAATTAAACCCCTATTCCACCAATCAATCGTTGTGTCAATAATATTCTCTCTTTTTTTCGCAGAAGCGTTATATGTCGTCATCCCAGTTCCGCGGGAAATCATGCGTGACACTCGTCCCAAAATAATCCCCGCTATAACGAAAAGAATCTACTCCAACCCTGCAATCCCAGTATTTTTTTGCATGAAACTTGGAGGTAAAGGCCAATATGCAATTTTGCGCAAGCATTCTCGTATGATTTCCTTATAAAAAAAGTATTAAAAATACTGTACTGCAGTGAGAGAGAGAAGAAGAAGATCAACAGGTCATAAGAGGAGTTATTTTTTGCGACCGAAGCTTCGAAAGAGTTGCGGGGATGACGACATGCACGACTCAAACAGGGCACAACGGAAATACGTGGAGAAATGCAGCTTGAATTCGCCAAGAAATTTTTAAAGCAACTCAATCTTTCGTTTCCGCTTTAAAAAACTATATGTTTTCTTTTCGGGGAAGAAGAAGCAGAAAATAGGAGTGAGAAACTTGAACCAGAAGCCGAGAAATGACGAGTCCGTGTCGCCGCCACCTGCAGTCAAAAACATCGTGACACGAAAGTCATGCGCATCACGGCACAAAAAAATGAGAGACAAAAATTCGCTTTCACGATGAGTCCAACACGAGACGTCACAAATAAGTGACAGGAACTAAGAAGAAACAGGCAACTTCAACCTCGTATAAAAATGCGTATAGTCTCAACTTACATGTGTAAAAAACTACAGAGTGTTTTGGCCTTCACCTCCAAGGGTCCGGTGAACATCTTTCATTTCCATCATATTTTTTCCTTCCTTTTTTTCCATCACACGCAATCGTGATCATATGTAACATGCCTTCTTTTTGCAGATACTGTATATAGATACTGTACTAAACTACTGTACGGTACAATACAGTGCTTATATACTCGGAAAACATGTGGACACGGAACAGTATGCAACGGAACAACACAATCAAACTACTTTACGACTTGTTTCTCTCGTATACGATGATGCAAGCTATAATGCAATACGTGGGGTCATAAAAAAAAAATATTTCGCGCTTATTTCGTAACCTCGGAATCCCCCTGAATTGTCTCGATTCAACGGCTTTTAGGTCTCTGGACAAGATTTTCTCAATTTTTGTATTACATCAAGGATTCGTTTGCTCATTAGAAAAGGTGACAAGAAGAGTTTACTTAACGTCAGTTCGAACGGGACCCAAATTTCCAAATTTCGTCCCCGCGGATCAGGGATTTAGAAATACCTTATACCGCAAGTTTGAGCAGTCCTTTTCTTGAAAACTTTCAATTTTTTTACACTGATACCAACGACATTGGCGGAATATGGAGCAGTGCAATTTTGATTCCTGTTGCGGTTCATCGCATGTTTTGAAGCTTCAAGTTCTAGTCCGCAGGAAAATGCAACTACTACGGGACTCTATAAAATGTTTAACCCAAGTTCTCAAAAACGTAAATTTTTAAAAATTTAAATTTTCGAGAGAGCATGTAAACTAACACAAGAATCAGCAGTCCTGTCTGGACAAACCCTGAAATAGCGGATTTAACTTAAAATCCCAAGATTTCGCGTTCGGATGCGTGTTTTTTTAATACCGTAATTGATCTTCCTAAACACTTGAGTTTTTGCTCATGTTTTCTTTTTACAAATGCTCTTCTCTGAAATTGCACCGATTTACTTGTCATCTAAACGAAATCCCATTCTGCGATTTGCTCTTCATCCACTATGCGCACCTTGAATATGGTTTTAAAAATTACCACCCATCACTTATTGATGCCTCCGCAGTAAAAGTCTGATCCCGACCTAATCCCAACACCAAACCGGTTAAGCACAACCCAAAATGTTGGCAGACATCCCCAATTGACTTTTTGGACTAATAAACATGATTGGATGAGAATAGGGGGGACTACAAGCGAAAAGAAGTGGCCGAGATTTTGGGCGGGAGTGAAAGAGAGTAGCAGCATATAGAAGACCGCAAAGACGAGAAAGATGTAAGAGCCAACAACGACGAGAAAGGCTGATAGATTGATTTGTCATTTGAAAGATTAAAAAAAAAAAAGGTACTCACGACATGGCAGAGTCAGTGTTGCCGAATTGAGCACCCGTGTCCATGCTGAGTGCGCCGGCGCCACCACCGAACCCGTAACCCTTGGGTCCGTATTTGCGACCGTGGCAGTTCTTGCAGAACAGTTTGTCCTCATGCGGTGCGCAGTTGGTGGAGTCCAGCATTTTGTTGCACATCTCTGCGCAGATTTAAAAAAAATTGCATTTAAAATAAATACAAGAATAAAATCAGATCATCCGGCGTTCTGATTTTCCGATTTCCGGAAAACCAAGACTGAGATACATAATTAAGTTGCAACGTTCTCCGTGATCAGTTATTGATGTGTTGACCTTATAATGATGGCAGCATTCAAACGATAGATCAAAGGAATGCGGTGTTCTTATTTGTGCATATATTTCTCTGAAATTAGCGAAGATTGTCTGAAATAAATTTATTTTCAAGGTGTTTCGTAATCCAGTCGATTCTCTTATTTAGGACTGGATTTAAAGAAATTATCATGAGCAGGCAATTTTTTTCTCGGTTGAACAAAAAGTTTTTCCAACGCTTTTAATTTATTTTCGAAGTGAAATCCCCTAAGAAGGGTTGAAAAACAGTCCAGAACAAAGTTAGCCCTGAATGCCTTTTCACGTTAGTGATTCAGAAAAATATTGATGGTCTACTAACATAAATGACTCATTTTTTAGAAAAAAAAAATAGTTCCGTTTCGTGCTTCCATTAAAAAAATCTTGCTTTTTATGAACATATACACCTCTTTTTAAACGCTTAAAAACTCAAGTTCGGCATATATGCGTGATATTTGAGTACAATACACTATACTGTACTGTATATATAACGCCGGAATTTAGTCATATGTTTTCACGGACTTCAGTCATACACACGAGTGAATGCCGAAAAAAATGCGATGGATAATGGTTTACTTTTCACGAATGACATACGTACAATGCTGCACATCGTGGTGTTCCAAATGATTGATACAGTATCTGATGATAGCAACTCATCCTTCTAATTTTTCGAAATATTCACGAGGAAAATATTCATACTTGTTCGTGAACTGACCACTGAGGGATCGTTTTGCCGACAATTTTTTCACATGTTTCGAAGCTTGAATAGTTTGCTTTTTTCCTGAAACGTATATGCCTCAAAATCTCGGTGTGAGATATTTAAAAGTAATTCATGCCTTAATTTGCAAGATTGCAGGCAGATGATTTCAAAGTTTATGGATATAGCTATATATCTTTACTTAGAATGTTCTTGAATGTGTAGCAAACCCAATAAAATGTCGAATGTCGGCATATGAAATACCCGCCAACATTTTATGCGATTTCGCAATTGATTCACTGCAGTACTTTCAGTCGTGTTAGATTTCGGTTGATGAAGGGATTACATCTTTCTAATTTAAAAAAATGTTGGCTTTAATTTATATTTTTTGTCTCTTCCATAAAAATAAATGTATCATTCGTTATTATAGTGAATGAGCAACAAGAAACTAGTTCAAATGTACTTGAGATGTCGGAGATTCGAAAGATATGCGCATGCAATTTTTAATTTGCGCCATAAAGTTTGAAATCATCAGGTAAATATTGTATTTTTGTTTATGAATATAAATTTTGTGATTTCAATGTGTACGAAACCGCGATGATTCTTCAACTGGAGAATAACCGGTAGATTTCTCGATATCACCCCAAAAAAACGATAATAATGAGGAATCATTTCAAAATTTAGACGCTTCTTTGAATACAGAATATCTTGTAAAGTTTTAAAGTATGCCAACGCTTTTTTCATCGAGATTTTAAACCGAGAAACTATTTCCTGAAATGGATCAACTGGAGCAATTGTCCTTCATGATGTGATCAGTTTCTTCAGCTGACATTTCAATCCAAAAAATATTGAGACTTCATCTGAGCGAAGTTTGTTAAGCAGCGAATTAATAATGTTCGATCAATGTACGTTAGAGAAACCTGAACCTCTCAAAAAATGTAATTTATAAAATCGTTCTGAGGTATCAGATTCACTTCAGTTAATCTTTTCAGGCCAGCAAAAGGCACTAAGAAATCATTTTTTGTCGACTTCATTTTCTCATACCAACTCATTAAATTTGTAAGATATAGTTGATCGATTATTACATCATCCCTGAAGACATATTTCTTTTCACAAAAAAAAAAAATGTGAGCCTCTGTAGTAGAAGTTAATATTCAAAAATTACGGTTATTATGTTCCATTGTCATGGAAAATATAGTTTTCAACTTTTCGCAAGTTTTGTCAATCGAACTGGTCGCTTATTCGTTTGTGAACAATCTCAGACATAGACGCAATGACATATGCGCGGCTTGCTTGTTTCTATTTTAAAGATCAAGTCCTTGTATTATTTTTTAATTTAATATCAATCTTATTTTTTAATGCTGTAGTGCATTTTTATTAACCCAAATCTGTGAACAAAATGACTCATTTCCGCCATGTGAATAAATCCTTGAGCAGATATCGGATGTTCCTCGATTCTCTTACGATGGATAATATTACTTCGCTGAGATTTATGTACAGAACATGAAATCCGATTCATCTTCACGCAGAAAATGCATGAATGTATGAGCCAGGTATGTTCAATATTTGATACTGTACTGTAGATGAAATCAGGAGATATGAATGAAAGGTCGGTCCTCACCGCATTTGAAGCAGCCCTTGTGCCATTTGTGGCCGCCGGCAACCTTCTCTTCGGCGGCATAAACGGACTTTTGGCACTTGGGGCACTTGGCAGTCTCTGGCGGCTTGAAAGGCATCTTTTCCCGGTTTCAGTCAAGTTTTTTTTCTAACCTATAAAAAAAGGCAGATCACGCAAAAATATATTTCATACATCCAGCAAAATATATTTCAAATCTTTCAGGGTCCAAAAAAATGGAATTTGAAATTAATATTTCGATACGCCACTTACCAATAAATCAAATCCCCGGCGTGGGATCACAAGAAGTTTGGAAGATTTGGATACTGTCACTGTGGACGTACGCGTTTATCAATCGTTTGTTCCCGAAGAAAACAGTCACCGGAAAAAAATTGCGGAGAAAAATGTGTGTCACATCCATATTCAAAATCTCATTTGGAAACTCCGACTTCCATAAGGACTCACGAAACAGCAATTTTTTTAGTACTGCCATTTCTTGATCAATTTCATTGATATCTATATCCTGTTTCATTTTAGCCCTCTTAGATCTATATTCTGATGCTTTCTAACTTTGCAAGTAACTGATGCTTTCTAACTTTGACAGAAAAGATATAGCATCATTCCTGTCAATTGTCAATAAAACTGAAAAATGCTCATCTTACCAAATGAGTTTAGAGAATCTCTGAGACACTTCAACACTTTTGAACGCGCACTACTTTTTTTTTTTTTTACCCCAGTGGTCGTGAATTCAAGAAATTTCCTGAATCTAGTTCTGATTTATTTATAAACATAAATGAAGGAAATTTTATCAATATTCGCGTAGATAAAATAAAACCCCGTCCAAATCAGCTCATGTAAAATTTCGCCAACAGAGATTTCAAGTTTAAACGTACGTAATCCCTTTCGCTGTTCTTGATTTTCTCCAAAGTGAATTTTTAAAAATTTCGAGTTACAGTATTTGCGATAATCGATTGGATTTTCCAAAAGCACTTCGGTGAATATTGAATCCCACACGAGTTCGACTTTTCCAATAAGGACTTCAAACAAACTTTGCAGATTCGCACATGAAGTTTTCTTTGTCCCACTTTGCATTCATATATAATGCTTTTTTTTAAGTTATGCCCTCGTTTATACCGAGCTTCGGTTCGAATCACTTACAACCGCTGGTTTAAATACGGTAATAGAAAAGTAGGGTTGGAAGGAATCCCAGAAGACCACCGAACAAGTCAGTATCACTATATACAGTACAGAGTAAATATATACTCTTGGGCTTTAAAGCGAATGTTTCAGTATAACCGAGACTTGGCCCTTATTGCAGGTTAGTTCAGCGCAGGGCGGAAGCTGGTCGGTGACTGCGCGAATCCCGCCGGCTCAGCACCACGGAATCCGGACCAGGAAACAGTCCCTCGACGACGAGGTTATCCCCGGGAACGTTTTGGCAATCCATCTAGCGTTTTGCACACGGCACGAAACGCCTTGGACGACTTCTTGGTCTCGGTCCGGAATAGGCGAGACCCCGACCGACCAAAACCCCGGCGTCTGCTGCACACTGCAAAAATCCCCGCTCTCGAAAAATACGCACGCACATCACACACACAGACACACACACACTCACAGACACACACACATACTCCCAGAAGCATCAGCAGTCTCAGTCTCATTTCAGAATTCGGTTTCGGATTTTTTTTTTTTTTTACTTTTAGTGACTTTTTCAACAGATACAGTACGAAAACCATAGGATTTTCGATCAATGTTAAAATTTGTGAGGTGGGGTAGGAATCAAATGCTTTGAAAATCTCAAATAATTTTTAAACCACAGTACAGTACATTACAGAATATTCTTTTAAAGAATCTTCTTATCGTCGATTCACGGTATCAATCCGCCGTTTTTTCGATTCCGCCTTTTCTGAGTTCGATTTATTGTCATCGTTTAGCTCTATACAGTACATGTCGCCCTTTTTCTTCGGAATTCAAAGCATTTCGACAGCTTGAAAGTACTAACTCAAATTAATTACCTCAACCGGTCCTCTATATAATGTCAAGCATTCGAAGATTGCTGCATGACGCAGGGTTTTGTTTCCCTCATATGATGAACCCACCATGTAAAAGGAACCCTTTTGGTTTCATTTAAAGACAAAAATAACAAAAAAGCAAGCTTTGGAGATAGGACTGTAGCTGAAGTACGAAGGATAGTCCGCAAGTTCATGCTGACTCGAGTACAGTAATATATTTTCTGCATCAAATCATTGCTTTTTGATTAATTGGTAATGATGTATCAGTTAGGTGTTCAACATCTCCTGCCAATTATCAATAATCCGTATATGGTCAATGCGCAGAATCGAGGCAAAACAATTTATACAGATTACAGATAAGAAAAAGTCTGTTCTAACAATATTTTTATGACATGATTTATATGAAGAAACTGTATAGAAGAAATATTTTGATGAGAAATGTATTACAATGGAATTTATTGTAATATTTGTTTCCTGCATTGAATATGTTGGAATTATGCAACTACAGATGAACCTCAATAACTCAAACCTGCCCAAGTCAAATACTCCTTAAGTTGAATTGTTTTCAGGTCTCCATCTGAATCCCATTAGAAACAATACAGTAAAAATCTCCCTAAATCAAAGGCTTTTCCCCTCAAATCTCCAAAAGTCAAATTTTCTGTGACCTGTTGGCCATTATTTTCTTGGCCCAAGAAAGAAAAAAGAGCAATAAAAACTGAACATTTTATGTGTTTTAAAGGAAGTGAAAGACCTAATTGAGCAAATGAACTCCTACCTTCAAGTTCAGCATCCTTTCAATTCATTTAAGAAGACAATTAAGCTCTGGAATATCACCATTTACAATTTTTCCAAGTTTCCCAGAAAAAAGGGCTTTGTATGGTAGAACAAACCTGATTCAACACCTGCCTAAGTCAAAACCTCCCTAAGTCAAATTTTTCTGCTGGTCCCTTGAAATTTGACTTACAGAGAGATTCAACTATATACACTTATGCCCATGCAAAGCTGCTTAATAATAAGCAAAATGGATGAATTATTGAAAAATGAGGCATTTTGTTATTGTTGCCCGTGATGAAGATATTTTAGAAAAATCCGTCTGATAATTTATTATCAGTTTAAGAGCTGTACAGTATTGATTTCTTTTCATCTTCCACGAGAATTACTTATATTTCCATGAAAGTTTTCCAGTCCAAATAATGCAGCGAATAATGCAGGCCGAATGTTAGACCTTTTTCAAGCATCCCGCGTGATAAAAATTTACTATGCATGCTGGTGACATAAATAATCTTCTAAAATTTTATGAACTATCCCTTTTATTCATGGAACTAGCAACTGCACAAGTTTGAGCATCCCTTTGATGTTGATGCGGAAACGGAAGGACCGATCACGACAAAGAAAAAAATATGCGCAAACGCCAAATCCAATGTTTGGAAAAGAAGGTGTTAGAATCGAACTAATAGACTGCATCTTTTTTCCTACGTTTTTCGATGAAGTCTTGGCGACGATTCGCAGCAAACGCGACAACGACGCTTTTGGCACTGTCCCATTGTTCGCGTCAATTCCTGTTCCTGAGTTTGACGGAGACGAGCCTGTGTATCCTTCGATGGCAACAATAAATAAAATACTGTAACTTCATTAGGATTCTGGTTTTAGAAAAAAAATCCTCAGCACGTTTCACCTGTCGCTTTGTAGCTTGCCCTGTATAATACTGTACTTATAATTGCAGCTATAAATAGTTATTTAAGCACTACAGCAAATTAAGTGCTTCATATGCAGGAAACTGTTTCACACACTTGCAGGAAACTGTCATTATCATTCTTCTGTGTAATTCTTGGCGGTTTCACCCGATTTTAGGATCTCCTCGGCTTTATTTTAGACATAGCGTGAGGATGATTCACGCTGAACGGTGTTCGTCGACTTGATGATTCATGGGTTCCAAAAATACTTCACGCTGGATACCGCGGTGCCTCAAACAGCTGGGTATGTGGTATGGTACTACATTACTCCCAAAATTTTGTGTTGGACGTGAAGTACTATTACTCAGCATCCAGAATAAATCCCATGCGTTCAGGGCGAACAGTTCAAAGACTTAGCGGGGGATTCCTTATACAGTAATGACTTTTCATCCTCAGAGAATTGATTGATTTATGCTGCTGACGACGAAGAGGGGAGCATTTTCTTACGCTAATATTGTACTTCACTTACTATGATGTGACACGGTCTTCCGACTTCCTTTCGAAGCAAATGGGAGGCATTTTTAATGAAAACCTTTTCTATTTTACGCAGCGACCGCTAAAAGTAGCCACTTTGCTGTGAATATGCTTTAATTGAAAAGACTTCTGTAAAGTTGTCTTGCTTCTTCAATATGCTACTTGAATAATATTAAGAAGAAGTTATCATGGCCTTTATAGATGCTTCTGATGAACATACATCACACATTCGACGAAAGCATTTTGCGGGACTTCTGTAGGGCAGCTTAAAAGAGGCAGATTCAATGACACTGATATATACGTATACAGTATAAGTACACATTTTTCTTATTGAAGCATGATGGAAAAAAATGCACCGAAGTTAACTAGGAATGGCATTATAATGTAACTCCGCTTTACATTTATATCAAACCCTTTCTTTTCTCTGCAATGATATGTCCGACGATTCATTCTGCAGAACTTGCAAATTGTTGACTGCTGCGGATGTTTCAGCAGGAAATGGCAGCCTCTCAAATTTCAAAGAAGGAATGTCAATCGCAACATTTTTTTTTTAATTGCACTGAAATAAATCAGACCTCTTGGCCAGCAATCCAAAATAAAATCGTAAAGGTCCATCCAACAATCCAGTAACATTTTGATTCTATAACGCATAATTTGAAATTGATAAATCTTTGATTCATAAAAATTTACACGAGTAAATTATTGAATCGCTTGATGTTTGATGGCGATTCAAAATCCTGAATTCCAAAATTTAAAAAAATGACTAATTTTGAAAATATTGTTTTCGGTATGATTTATACATAGTTTCAGTTTTTTTTTTTTTAACCACAGCGAGCAAAAATTTGGAAAACCCAGCCTACCTATATATCTGCAATGTAGAAGCGCTCAGCTGAAAATAATACGAAGTTTTTTTTTCCATCCATTCCGTCGAGAGTCCGGATGACTGACTGAGCCTTTTCAGTAATTTGTTTCGCGTTCGTATATGACTCACCCTCACCCGAGATACTTTTTACACTCCCTTACTTAGAGTATGGGGTGGGACAAAATAATGGTTTTGCAGAATACAAATACCTGTGCGTACATTACTTGTATACTTGATGCTTGCCGCGCGAAAAAAAGGAAGGAGGTCAAAGAGTTTGATTTACGAAGTCATCTTCAGGAAAACTAAACACAATCACGATAATAAGAAACGGATACTTTATCATATAATGAAATACTATGAATAACAGGTTGAAAATATACTGTATATCTGCAGCCTTAATGGTGATCGATACTATATACTTCCCGTCATGGCGCGCGGGTAAGTTGATTCAACTCCGACAAATCGATTTTCATCAAGAGATGTGCTGCGCAGTTCAGTTAAAATGGAAAAAACGCTACTGCCACGAAATAACCCGAGTCTACAGTAAATTTCAGACGGATGTCGTCGGTATGCCGACCGGTTTTCGGTTCGTATCCCAGACGGGGGGTAAAGGAAGCAGTCCGCGAGTTCCGGATGCATGCGTACACGTGCGACACAACCAACCTGGCGCCGCGGTGATTTATTTTCAGCAGGCGTGTTCCTTGTTCCCTCATATTTTCCTCCTTGCTGTTGTCACCCCAAGATTCTGGAATTCTGGCTGAGCTGTACGACACGTACAATAAGTAGCCTCTTTCCAATGTACTCTCACACAGAGTTACCCGCGGGAAGAATATCTTCTCACTTCATATTTACATACATATAATACACTGTACTGTGCAGTACGTTGAAACCTGATCGCGATTGTCATTATTTGTACTGTGCGTACCGTACGGTGTGAATCCCTTTCTCAAAAAATTGAAGGTGCAATGAAGATTGACAGCGACATCGTTCTACCCCCTTTGTGCATTTCTTTATGGGTACATACCCTTCACAAATTTTAAAAGACTGGCTTTTTGTGATTCCATGCCCTAGAATTTGAAAATTTCATATAAAATGGAAAATTTAGGAACCTCGAAAATTGAGGTTCAATTAAGCACAGGGGACTCTCCACCGCCTCTGCAATTCGACCCTTCATTACTGGCGACTGGCCCACAAAAGTGTATTTTGGGCAGCACAGCCTCACAGAAATCATGAACCCTGAGTGCAGTGCAGTAAATTACTGTACAATAATATATTTCTGAAGAAACAATGACCAATTCAAGTGCAACATACTATTCATCCATACGAGGCTTTCGTCTTGTCGCCTTTTCTCACACGTGTATCCAAGATACTCGACGGATTGCAAAAAGGCTCACTTTTTTCTTTGTTAAAAGCAGTGACACACATCCGTCAACTACCTGCACCTCGCAAACCTTGAACCCCTTTTCCTTGGGAACTATACCCAGCTTTCTTTTCTTCTGAAGTACGCGAAAACGGAGACTTCGCTGAAAGGAGAGCAAGGGAACAGAACATTAAAAATGGCTGGAGAAACGTTGAATTAGAAGGACGCACTCGCACGCGAGTCGAAAATAGACACAGTGCACGAGTAGGAGATGGCTTGCCAATCCAGTGACTCATCCAAGGAACGGGGAAAGTCGGCTTCAATTCTCAGTTCATAACTGATGCAGAATATACTTTCGTCCCGTTTTAAGAGTGAATCTGTCCATCAAATTCTGGAAGCGATCATACTTGCATTCGTTGCACAAAAACTATTTGTTAATGATGGCACTTCACATCAACGTTACCGAGAGAAATGTTCCTTCAGTAAGTTTTCACCTTTCCAATGCTGAACACAATCCCTTATGCCACTAACCTTAGCTTTCCCGTCATTTGCCGCGGCTTCTAGTAGTTCAAGCGAACGCTGTGATACTGTACTTGACCTACACAGTATTCGATCCTTTGCAGCAAGAAATTGTATTACAGCTTGAGCACATCCCTATTACGATACGAAAATTAGAATTGATAACCTCAGACATTGGGAAGCAACACCACTTTCACGTCGTTTATTTGACCACGAATTTGGATAACTGAAGAAAGAATGAACCACGAACAATCAAACACGATCTTTTGAATGCTGCAATCAATGTAAAAAAAAAAGCAGAGGTTCACCAACAAACAACAAATAACTCTTGTACCGGTCAAACATCAACGGATAATCTGAACAAGAGATCGTCTGATTTTACAAAAACCGTTTAAGTAAAAAGCTAAATAAAAATATTCTAAGAGATCTTCGCTCGACAATATGGCGAAATGACTGTGTGTAGCGAAATTTCTAAAAGTAATGTACACAATATTCACAATTTTGGTTTGATCAGGTCCCAAAAAGTTCTAACATGAAAAAAAAAAACAGAAACGAAAATAACTTCGCGTACAATTTATAAAAGTTGCGAAATACCATACATAAAAAACATCAACGGTTTCTAGTTTCTATCTCTTGGTTCTTCCGTCTGATGATAACAAATTACAAATTTTTGATCTTGAGCTTTTGTTCAAGTCAAGCAACTGTTTCTCTTCTTCAGAAAACTTTTGGGATGAATCGGTGAGGTACACGTTGGCAATAACGTGTCCAACTATTTCCATATTTCTCCGCCAGACGAGCCTCATCTTCAAAAGTGCGTAGGACCAGGAAGACAATCGTTGTCAGAGGCAATACGTAAGGTAGAACATGGCCAAATCCTGCAATACATTCAGAAGGTCGATTAACTCACAATACGTCTCGTAATAATGAATGACATGCTTCAACAGTTACTCGAACATTTTGGGTCAAGAAGACCTCCAAAATACTGCCTTTAGGGCTCTGGCGAGGGCCAAATGATGCGCATCACGCTAGCAAGTCTCAGTGAGTAGTTTTTACGTTCTTCCAATTAACACAAGACATAGAATTCAATCAAAGCGCGGATTTGTCACTTCTAAATTTCTAAAAAAAATTCCGAAATGGCTCTTTTTTTTAGGAATAATTACACGTGATAATTGCAGAAACATGTTTCTAGGCCAATTATTTGTTCTCTTTAGCAAAAAACTTTACATCATATATTTTCGGCATATTTAATACCGTATTGAATAGATATAAAAAACTGGAACTATTTTGCTGGAAAGCTGCTAAAAAAGGGGCAGCAATCAAATGTGAAATGTTCTGTCCGCAGTAATTTCTGGGTTTCTCCTTTAAAAACATTTTCATTTCTTCGTTCGATTCACTTTCATGAAGTGACAAAAAAGCCCCTGATGTGCCAACACAGCCACTAGGGTTCTGCAGGGCACTGAAGGAAAATCACGACTCTAGCAGATCAAATACTGTACCAAGTACTGTATAATAAACTAATTGACGAAAAACGTTACAAATTTATGAAGGCAACGAAGTCTCACCAGTCGTCATAGCGATGCAGATCATCATGATGACGTTTCCAACATAATTTGGACGTCTCACCCAACCCCATGGAAATGAAACGATCAGTGATTTTCCAGACGCAGTGGCAATGGTCTCCAAATCTAATTAAACGTCATGATCAAACCGAGTAATTAAAATTAAAAGACTGACAAACATACCAGCGAAGCGCTTGGAATTTGGATCTCTCCTGAAACCGTTCTTGATTCTATTTGCGATCAAGTACAACAAGTATCCGACCAAGAATAGGGCAACCAGTCCGACTAGGTCAGGATATCTCATGGGTATGAGTAATCTACATGGAGATGAGAAAAATTATTCCTTGAAAGAAATAAAACAAAAATCGTCGAACTTACTTGTTTTCGTACTGATCATGGAGGAATCGCATAGGCAGGCAACAAAGGAATGGGGATGCGGTGGCGGATGAGAAAAACGCGTAACCAGCACCAGTCTTTAGATAATCGTACGTGGTCAAGTAGTCATTTTCGCGCAGAAAGAAATCCAGAAAGCAGAGAAGCATCAGTGCCCCACAAACTGTCATTTGCGGGGGTACATCCCAATCATGCTTCTTCGCTGCAATCCACCACAGTCCAACCGTCAAAGCAGCCTAAAATAAAACGATTGACACCGCAAATATTTAGGATCAAGCGACCAACAACTCATGCCTAAAATCACTGACCGTTCCGTTTATTGACAATCGCACGGCGTAAAGTTTAAGATCAAACAGAGAGCCGATTCTCGGGATAGTTTCTCGCCCTGCATGCCAATCAACCAACATATTGCCTGTCTGACCGCTGACGTTCAGATTTCTTCCAGGACGAAGGCGATTCTTCATGTAAACCATCGCCGAGAGCAGAGTGCCGAATATCCACGCAGCTGTCATCAAAGCGAAGAACTTGGCACGCAGAAATTCAATCGGAACAACGTACAAATCCAGCATAATTGGTGAACTTGCTGAGAGCAGAAACGAGAGCCAACCTGAGCAAATATGAAGTGAGCAGGAGCATGTGATCAAAAACAACACCGTACATAAATTGACTTAATTCAGATCAGAACGAACCATTGCAACGGTACTTTTGTCGAATCCTATTTGTAACGGGGCCTTCAATTTTGCGTCCGACAGGTAGAACAAGCAGAAGGGCATTTGCCATGGCAAATGAGAAGTAAACCATCCAGGCAGCTGGGTCATAGAAAGTCGCCAGACGACGGGGTACAGAGAGAGTTCGCAGATGACAATTTTTCTACGGAGAAAATTTGAAAGCGCAAATTCAGTAATCCCGTGAAAAAAAATGTGACGGCCTTGAGCTCGTCCGATTTCATGCAGCTCACCTTGTCGCACATCATGTTGATGGCAAGAAGTGAGGCAGGGATCGCAACAGTGCACACAGTCGCACCTATGATGGCCAACCAAGAAGCAGTCGACTTGGAAAGTTGTACAGAATTGATACTTTGCTTGATGGAAACTTTTGTGGGAATTTGCGTAGTTTCTTGAGCAGCAATCCTTGTTGATCTGCGACGACTTCTCACGGGCACTTCACTCGCAACGTTGACGGATTCGTCAGCAGATGATGCCGCGTCGCCAGACTTTCCTTTAGCTTTACTGGATTCCTTATCCGGTTCATTGGGTACAATAGGGGCAGAACGACGAGTTTTCGACGTACGACCCCGACTACGCGATCGCGAGCGAGATGCTCGGCGAGGCGAATTGCTCTTGGCTTGACGACCACGACCTCCGGACTTGGCCTGAAATATGATTTGGCAGCGTATATAAGTCTTTCCTTCTTCAGAAAAAGTAATAATAATAAAATTGAGGCTCACTCTTTCAAGTTGATTCGGCTTCACCAACTCAGTTTTTCCGTTTTCAAACATGATGTTGTACATGTTCACCGCGGGTCGAAACGAGATGACTTGCACACCAACAGATTCACCATTCGAATTTGTGTAAATAGCATCTTCTCTACGCTTATACTCGCCCATGATCATACGAGATACACGCCAGACTAGAAGGGAAAAAAAACATAAGTACCATGGTTACCTGAACGGCGAATTACCTGATATCACTAATTGAAACCTACGACTTCATATCAAAGACAATTGGGCGTAACGAGGCACGAAACGCGTGGAAAATTTTAAGAGGTATCAACAGAAGTGAACTGATACAACGTGTTCTTTAAACGACTTTCCACTCGTGTCCTTTAGATGGACAGTACACCTCGACGAAACTGCTGTACCACCCGAATATAGCAAAAATATATTCAGTACTACATTCTAAATTGCAATTGAGCCGAGAATCTCAAATCACGCGTACCAAGTTCGATTGCTTTTTTCCCCTCTTCACAAGTACCTTGTACCTAGTCCATCACCATTTCAAATCAAGAAAATCGGCAACCTGAATTCGTCTGGTCAAAAGGTTTCCCCAATACAGAAATTAACAAGAAAAACTGGGAATTCGGGCATATCTACATAGAAAATATTCGCGATAATTCAAACGGTCTGTACCGGATACCTCTCTTCACCTAAATCGTGCACCGTAATGATTCCAGCGCAAGCACGTTACATTTCCGAGAATTTGAATCCGGCGACGCAGGGAAGTACGTTGACACCGGCCGAATGCACGCCGCCATTTTGTATAGTAACTGATTCGAATGTCCCCCGACCATAGCTCTAGGAAATGTTCAAAAAGGTCCTTCTCACCTTTGTTGCGACATCTAGCGACCACTGAGCCACCTCAGTGCTTGTACATTCGAAGAGAACGATTCTCTTGGAACCGGTGTAGCAGGCAGGGCGTACTCCCCAGGTACAGCGTACTCCCCCCGCAGCAAGATTAGTCCACATCCGCGGAGTGCGATTCAGCAGAGCCTCTTCTGCAGTGATCACTTAGGCAGTGGTATCTTCCACAGCATTCAGAGGAAAGTTGATTCCACAGTGATTCTTGAAGCAGCATTTACTTTGGCAAAAATAATGATGAATTCTGCGGAAATCTATTTTCAGGGAGGCCTTGGAGCTATCCCACTTGGGGGGAGCCATGCCCAAACCAATGCCCTCATAGATGTCACTAAGAACAACACATGGAATGTTATCAGCAGCATCCATGTGTGGTTCTCAAAAATTAATCCTCTTTACCCCAATTATAAGGTCAGGTTATGTTAGTTAATAATTAATGCAAAAGTACAGTAGAACTTTCGACAAGAAAGCATTTTGGACCTTGAAAAAGCTTTGTCATATACAAAAATTTGTCAAAAGGAAATTTAAATAAGAATGTGGCAGTCGGGGCAGGGACTGAAGAAGACATTTCTCCAAAGCATCAACAAGATTCATTGCAACCAGATGGAATTGGCTCTCCTCTGAATTTCATTGAAAGATGTCAAAAAGAAATTTAAATAAGAATGTGGCAGTTGGGGCAGGGACTGAAGAAGACATTTCTCCAAAGCATCAACAAGATTCATTGCAACCAGATGGAATTGGCTCTCCTCTGAATTTCATTGAAAGTACTACTGCATGTGTTCACCATGGAACTTCACTCCGCGGATTTGAACAGACCCGCCGGACGGCATAGCGCACACTGGAGTACACCCTGCCTAGAGGCAGGGTGTACTCCTGGAGTACGATTTTGGGGGAGTACGCTGTGCCGCCCACACCGGCCTGTCAGGCGAGAGGGGAAAGTTGAAGTCCTTCGAAGTCGGGGGAGAAATTGAGAATTACCGTATCTAAATTTGAAGGTATGGAATAGATTGAAATCGTGAATGTCGATTTATTCAGTGAATGTCGAGCGTTAATCAGGGTGCTTATTGGCGGGATCTTTTTGTTTGACAAATTTCAAAGAAAATCGTTGAATGAAGTGCTCGAAGTTCGAAGAAATATCAATTGAAGGCAGTCCAACCGAAAATTAATCTACGCAGATTTTATTGAAGTTCGTTGCGTCTGAATGATCCAAATTTTCGAAACATTGCTTATAGGTGGTAGTTTTTGTGTGAGGTGGTCAAACTCGCTGTTAGCACGAAGTGAAAATGATGGCCATGACTCAAGCAGAAGCAAAGACCTTCTTGTTTAGAGTGGGTTATTCCCAAATTCGTCGTGATTTAGTTCTGCATAATCGATTCCATCGGTATTCTAAAAGAGTTTCGCTTATTTATGTGCAAGATATTTTGATTGTTCACGGTTTCGGGATTAAACATGTCGTGGCATCGAATTCCCATCCCTGTCCAGTGTGAGACTTGTTCAGACAAGTTGCACTCGATATTGTGAAACGCGCATTTTCCAATTTGAGCTCGTTGAGGGTAGTTAACTTCTGGAAGTGAAGCGCGTATGTTTGTTGCTTCGACCCTCGTACGCCACCCGCGGTTATTTTAAGCGAAACTGGGGGCTGATACAGTGCTCAGTGTCAAAGAATGTGGTCGCTCTCATGGTCATGGCTTTAGGATTCTTTCAATTTAATAATTGTATGGTTATTGCATTTTCGCAGGTGAAATCCCGCGTACTGGTTAATCTCCAATGGGTAACACTGTCGTTGCTTCAGGTGCTCCTCCTCCTCCTAGTTCACCGTCGTCCTCTACTCCTGATCCTCCAAAACGTAATGACAATCCGGGCACGTTTGAAGAAATTCACAAGTCAACTAAGGATGTCTTCCCGAATTTTTTCGAGGGAGGACGATTAATGATGCAGCGTGGCTTGAGTAATCACTTCCAGGTCACGCACATCATAAACTTGAGCTCGACAGACCCGTCGGGCTATCGCTTTGGTGCTACTTACGTTGGTTCGAAGCAGCTTGGCCCAGCCGAGTCATATCCCATATTACTTGGGGATTGTGATCCAAGCGGGAACGTTAGCGCAAATCTGATTCACCAGTTTGGTGAGAGAATACGTGCCAAGGCGGCTGCACAGATTCAGCGCTCGAAATATCAGGCTACAAAGCTAGCCGCGGATTACATGGGCGACGACTTCACAGCCTCCATTACTCTTGGAAATATTGATGTTCTTAAGGGTTCAGGTGTTGTAGTGGGGCATTATCTACAGGTGAGTCCTGAGTTTTGCTAAATTCATTCATGTCTCTTTAAAGCGTTTTTTTGCAGAAAATTACCAAATCTACCTCTCTGGGGAGCGAAATAGCTTATCAATGTGGGCCTATGATCCCGGGTGGACAGCTGGCTGTAGTTTCTTTAGCTGCACGTTATTCCGGTGAGATATCACACAAATCTAAGCAAGTGAATGGTTTATGTGTTCCAAGATTCAGCATTTTTCCTCTTAAATCTGACATGTCGAAGGGACGCACTATGCATGAAGTTTGTTTTCTGACTCAGAAAGATGTGATTTACAAGCGCAGAATGGTTGTTATATTTATCCGTTTTCCCGTATCTCATTGTTCAAGAGAATTTCTGAAACTTGTTGCTCGCTTTCCAAATCATCTTGCTCATCCTCGTGGAAGGATGCATTTCTGTACTCTGTATCTGGAAAATTTGCTCCTTAAGAATTATGACGATTTCCGTCTTCTTGAAGTGCGATCCAGAAATTATGTTCAATTCATTACCGCTTTTCTTGACAAAAGAAATTGTCAATATTTCTGCAGCCCACAGTTTCATTTTATTTTCCGAAACTGATGACCAAAATTGAGATCAGCCTTCACCTGCTTTCGGCCGAAGGGATCGCCAGAATAGGATGTAGAATCGTATGAAGAAATGATTCATTCTTTCCGTAGGAGAAAAGTGGACAGCGAGCGGAACATTAGGAGGCGCAGGTGTCCACGCATGTTATTATCAGAAGTGCTCAGACCAGCTTCAGATGGGCGTGGAGTTCGAGACCAATACGCGGGCGCAGAAGTGCGTGGCTTCCATCGGATACCAAGTCGACATCCCGCGAGCTGATCTGGTTTTCCGAGGTGTTGTCGACTCCGATTGGAACATTGGGAGCACGTTGGAAAAGAAGCTCAGCCCTTTGCCGTTTACACTTGCCTTATGCGGGCAGTTCAGCCACACGGAGAACGTGTTCCGCATGGGTTGTGCGTTTGTGATCGGCTGAGCACTCTTAGAGATTGTTGAGTTTTCGTTTCGAATTTTTAGTCGGGTATTCTGGGTGCAATTCCTGCCTGGACTTGGTAATACTATCGTTTCTTTGATTTTTTTTTTGCTGTTTCGTTGAACAAAGTTTTCTTGGATAAATTCTCGCTGAGATTGTTATCCACTTATCTGTTTATTACGCCCGTGGTGGCATTCGAACGCTGGGAAGATGGCAAACAAAAGACGTTCTGAGGATATAAATGCTGAAGTCATTTATCCTCGTGTGGTGCACACGTTTGTAGTTTTCTTTTTCTGAGGGCGAAGTGGATCAGATTAAGAATTTATTGAAGACACGGTCATATAGAAAAGCGGGAGACTTCTAGACCATTGAGTGGTTGAGGAAGATCCTTCTTTTAAATTTCTAATTTCGAACTTGACGAGATACTGTTTTTTGTCATTGTTATCTTGAATTTACTCGAATATCCCTGATATTCCATCAGTTCGAAACATTTTGATGATAAAATTTTTTGCTTTTACTTCCGTGTCTTCATTAAATTAGCCGGAAAAACATCTTCGTGTGCGTTTCGTCGAGGCATTACCAGACAATTTCAAAGGGTGGACAAGAAAAAGTAGCCCACATTTGAACCGTGATATCATCTGAATGGAGTTAAAACCTCGGAAAAAGTCGTTCAAATTTGTTTGAGTGATTTGTTCGCATTACAATTTCAAGGTATGAACTGCTTTGACACGACCTCCTTGAATTGTTGCATTACTTCTCACATTTTTGTACTTGTGCTGCGGAGTTTTTTTTTTTTAAATTCCGAAGTTCAGATTCGATTTCGAATTAATTGTTATGCCATACTGTATTGAAAAGAGTGTCGGGTTATTCGTCACCATTTGCAACAACAGCATACATTCCTTTACTTCAACACTTGTGCCTGTCTTTGATGAGCTCTGAGCTGAGAAGCTTTTAAATGGATGGAAGGTGTACAAGCTGTTGTTGGAAAGCACGGGAGACCCATGTGTGACAGTTTCTATCGATAAAGTTCAGTCAATGACGAGGTTTGATTTCCAAAGTGAAGAGGGATGGAGCTGAATTGATAAAATTTCTCAATGCATTCCTTCGTTTTTTAGCTGAGGCCATTTAAAACCATTGAAACATATGTGAATGAACTGTAAGTGGATGAATCTTAAAAGTTCGCCTCTTCAACCATTCATGAGATAACACTTGTTGCGATGTGGTGTGAAGTGTTTTTTCTGTCCCACCCTGGTATGCAACCCCTTGAGATTGTATGCAAAATCGGATATCTCTTCTGCGCACTCCTAGTTTTCTGACGGTTTGAAAGTCAGTAGTCGTTGACGGAACCAACTTTTATGAAATGTTATTTAAACGGTTGGCACTAACTTGATTTCCGTGTCTTCGTTCTGCAGTGATTGATCAAAATTGATTCGTAAATTGTGGAAAGTGCGGTCGGAGTGATGACGTGGAAGGAATGACAAATTGTTCCCTCGTGGTCCCTTGGTTCTCGCCTCGCGGTATTGGGCATCGTACCGCGACGTGTTGCTCAGTGGCGGAATAAAACCGAAGATGCCTCTGCCATCACGCGCGCGGATTTATGCTGATGCAAACTCGCACCGACCCCGGGAATATTGGGACTACGAGAGCCATGTCATCGAATGGGGGCAGCAAGATGATTACCAGCTCGTGAGGAAGCTCGGACGAGGCAAATACAGCGAGGTTTTCGAAGCCATTAACGTAACCAACGCTGACAAATGCGTCGTGAAAATTTTGAAGGTCAGTGTCAGTGGGGATCGAATCGCAATAATCGTGAACCGTTTCTACGTCTCGTAATTTGTATTGCAGCCAGTGAAGAAGAAGAAGATCAAGCGTGAAATCAAGATATTGGAGAACTTGCGTGGTGGAACGAACATCATCTCCTTGCAAGCTGTGGTTAAAGATCCGGTGTCTCGCACGCCTGCAGTGATTTTCGAGCATGTTAACAACACCGATTTCAAGCAATTGTATCAGACCCTGACGGATTTTGACATACGCTACTACATGTATGAGCTACTGAAGGTGAGTTTTTGTGAAACTTATGCATAACCCGGCGCTTTTTTCGGTGCGTGCATTCAAATCAGGCACGTAGACAGCATAGATGGGATTGCAAATCATGCAGAATGAGGCGAATCTTTGAGTTATGGAGATCGACGAGTTTGGAAAATGACGTACGTTTTTACAGTGTACCCTTGGAAGCTGAGCTACTGGTTGCTTCCAACTCTTTCAAATTATTAACGAGCACATTCCCCTGACATTTGCAGTGATTTTTTCACGTACTGACGTACGTAATCATCTTCGTAAGAAAATTATAATTTTCTTGATACAAGGATATACAATATATACCCCCGTGTGGCAGTATTTTTACTGAAGTTCAAGATGAGGATTGTATAATGTGTAGTGCACGTGGTATCTATGCCAAATATTTTGTCGGGTGTAAAAACTGTAAATCAATATAATCTTCTGCAGCTTTCATAGAACACCAAAAACATTTTGCTCATTTGGACTGTTTTGAAGGCGTACAGGTTATGTATCGGTCAAGGAATGACTATGTCGATCGATTTTCCGAAGTTGTTCGAAATCCATCATCGGGGAAGTTTTCAACCTTAGTACAATCTGGCTGAGGAATATTGAGTATCCCAAGTAGGAGGACTACAGAGTATCCCAAGTAGAAGGTTGAAAAATTAAAAGTTAGATGAACTCAAAATCATAAAATTATGGTAAATTTTAGTTTACTAGAAAGCGCGAATTTTCGTTCACTGGTCTCCGTACCTTGATATTATGAAAGGATTAATTTGTTGCCGTGGAATCCAGGAAACTGAAAACAATACTGTTTTTTTCAAGCCGTCACCTTTGACAGCTGTTACATAATTAAAAAAGAAAAGTTCGAGTCTTCAGAAATATTCCTCATATGTAATGTGGATATTATAATTAAATCGCCATATCTGTACTTTAATGGCAATGTTGATGCTATAACTTGAACTGGAATTACCCCGAAGGGGCACGCTTAGTTTTCACATCGAGACGATCTGCTGCTGTATCCGTAGGCACTGGATTACTGCCACAGTATGGGCATCATGCATCGCGACGTGAAGCCACACAATGTGATGATTGACCACGAGAACCGAAAATTACGTTTGATTGATTGGGGCCTCGCGGAGTTCTACCATCCCGGCGAAAAGTACAATGTTCGGGTGGCGTCGCGCTACTTCAAAGGGCCCGAGCTGCTTGTGGACTATGAGATGTATGACTATTCGCTGGACATGTGGTCGCTCGGCTGCATGTTTGCGAGCATGATATTCCGGAAGGAGCCATTCTTTCATGGACATGACAATTACGACCAGCTTGTGCGGATCGGCAAGGTGCTGGGCACGGAGGAATTGTACGAGTACCTGGACAAATACCAGATCGAGTTGGATCCGCAGTTCAACGATATTCTGGGAAGGTGAGAGATTATATAACTGACGTAATATTTCACCGACTTTCATGGATAATAATGTTTGAATAAGGCACTCGCGAAAGCGATGGGAAAGATTCGCCCACTCGGAGAATTACCACTTGGTCAGTGCTGAGGCTCTGGACTTCCTAGACAAGCTATTGCGCTATGATCATCAAGAGAGACTCACTGCCAAGGAAGCCATGGAGCATCCCTATTTTTGTGAGTTTCTCTTCATTGTCATTGCTTAATTTTAGTCATTCCTTGCCAAAGCTTTCTCAGGGTTAGGAGTGTTCAAAACATAGTGTTACCAAATTTATTTGCCATCTGTTGACCCTAGACCGAGACATAGAGGAAAATACCGTATTCATGAGCCCATCTGTCATCTCGCTTTATACGAAGGTTTGGCAATCAAGAATATCTCGGGTTTTTTAGATTGTGCTACTGTATTACCGGTAGTTTGTAGCGTGGTATGAAGTTAATTCGATTCTTTGTTCCCGATCTTGAGTTAGATATATCATTCATGACCAGCTGCATCATTAGGTTGGTACGATCGAACTTCAAGGGACCAGTTCGGAAAACAAGTTTTTTGTCAGATTTACAGGAGATCAGAATTGGTGATTTTATGGGCCGTAAATTGCTTGCTGTGTGAGTTGGCAGGATGCAGAAGTTGGAGGCGAAGGTTCATGTGCCCGATCAGTCTTTCTCTTTCCTGTGACAATAAAATGATAGCCAAAAGGCCCCAAGAAATTTAATTATGGAGGTTTGAGGGGAAAGCCATTGAATTGGGGTTTTTTTCTTTCTTTTTAATGCCTTTGTTTCTAAGGAAATTCAGAGAGGGACTTGAAAAACATATTCACTTAAAGAGGACTTTTTTACTTGTGGAGGTTCGAATTATCATGGTTATGCTACTGTATTCATGGCTGAGTTGTTAATTTCGGATATCACTGTACTTGAATGTTACTTGGGCTTGTTATGGCTTTTTTTTACATTTCAATTGCATGTTGGGTTATGATACTTTGGTACATATTCAAGGAATACTCGAACCCTTCGCCGTTGTTGCAGATGCAGCATTTCGAAACATTCCTCGATTCGGAATAATTTAATTTTTCTGTGTATGATTTTCAGATCCCGTTGTAAACAAGACGAGTGCAGCCCCGGCCAACGTGGTTTCAGCCATGTCTGTGGGAGTTGGTGTTGGTGAGTAGGCATGCCTGCTGTTGTCCAGCGTCTGCATCCATCCTGTACCATCTGAAAAAAAAAAACGAACAACCGACTTGCCGAAATGTGTCAATTTATTCTTTATTGGATTTATTTTTTTATACAATCTTCTGCGGCGCCCTCATTATGAGTGCGTTAGCGCACAAAATTTCATCGAGGCAACCTGGTCCAATACCGATCGTGCTTCCATTTGGGTTGAAATATTTTCCGTTTTCTCTGCTTTGTATCTTCTTGGTTATTACGTGACGTCGCATACTTTTTCATTGGAATAATTTTTTATTGTTCTTCATGTCCGAGCGGTCATCAGTGATATGTTTGATGTTTGTGTGAGCTCCCTTGTTTGCATTACTTGCTCAGTCACGGGTTGAATAATAAGGATTTTTATGCTGATGCATATCATGGTGTTCTATGGATTCATATTATACGTGAATTGTGTCTCATATTTGATATGTGAGGTGGTATATGTTGTACAGCATGTTCCGTTGATCAACAAGTTCGATCAAGTGTACTGGGGGATCTAAGAAAAGTGAAATTTTGACTGGGCATTCGTTGGTTATGGTTGGGTTATAACATGGCTGGTTGATGGTTGTGAAATGATACGCAGGTGGTGGACTGATGTCAGTGCCTGGATTGATTGGTAGTGAAGCGCAGGGAATATCAACGCCACAGTTACTGGAGCAGCAAAAGCTACAAACGTCAAGCTGATGTACCTCGATGTGTCCACTTTTCCCTGTGTCCACTTTTCTGTTAGTTTCGTGATAATTTTTTTAAGGATGCCTCAATTGATGAATGCTGCTGATCTCGCGGTGTCTGTTTTCTTTCTTCCAGTGAAGAAAAATGAGATCAATTTTGACTCCTTGAGTTGATTGTTGACTTGTCTGTTGCTAAATCGTGCACCGTGCTGCTGGGAATTGCAAAATAAATGAGGGAAAATTAATTGCGAGCAAGTGTTCTGATATTTTGCATTCATTGCACATGTATTATGCTGTAGTTATTTTCCATCGATCATTGTTTCAACAAATGAATTTATCCTGAATGTTATTTTTGCGTCGGATATTTACATGTAATGATTGGTCTATACGGTAATCTGTTTTTCCTTGGACCTGAATTTCCTGCATGCAAATTGGCTGGATCACGTGACGTTTTTACAGCTTGCTTTGTGAGGTTGTATTCAAAACGTAGAACAGTTGATGGCTGCGGTTGAACTGTTGTTGATGCAAGGAAGAAATAAGGTCATTTAAGGAGCTACTACTGTATATTTTTGAGCCACCTTTATACAAGCAAATCATTATTTTTGTGAAGTTTTTCTGAGATTACTGTAACTTGACTTTTGGAAGTACAGTGAGACCCTGAGATGTGGATGTAATTTGTGCTTCCTCAGTGTCCCTTTGTGGGAATGTCCTCATGTTGGACCTTGCTTTCCCATAGACTTCAATTGTAGCTCATTTAATTGGTTCTCCAGTGCATGAAAAATAGGGAAAAGTCCAATAAAATGTGTCTAAACTGTAAGATGAAGAATATAATTATTCATGATGCAGAGACCCACACAGAATATGATCCTCTGGTGTGAAGAAGACTCAAAAATACAAACAAAAAGTGTGAGTCTTGCTATCCCGTGCATAGATTGTAGAGAATGCTACAATAATAAGCAAAACATTAACCTGCTTTGAGTATAAACTCAAGGAAATATATGATATTCAGTTTTAACTTGTGTGAATGTAAATACCCCCCCCCCCCATTTGTTCAAGGGATATTCAAATTTTGAACAAATAGAATTTTCTAAAAAAGCTGAAAAAGTGTCTGAATGTCAGGCCCAATTTTTTGAAATCTGAAGAGTCCCCAAGTCGAATCGTATGTATGTTGGTGTGCCGCATTTTGGGATCTCAATGTCCAGTACAGTACTGTATATCAAGGTGAAGCCATATTAAGATTTCACATAATACTGTAGTTTAGGTGAGGTTTCTGCTGGGTCCCACCATCAGAAACTGTTCGTGGCCCCATCCACCAGGGTTCGAGGGTACCCTACAGTATTGCTAAAGGAACAAGAGATGATACACTAATTCATCTTGTTTGTTTTATCCATGTCCGAGAGGTAAAGAAAATATTTTCCATTCAGAAATTTAAAATGATGCTGGGAAATAAACTTACATATGATAGTTTTAATTTCACGACTGGAAAGGGCTTGTATGTGATCATGAGATATTTTTCCAATCTACTTCCACATGTGCGTCCGGAAATATTTTCCCTGGCTCAGTTTTCCAGAAGTCGTCCAAGTAAACCACCATCGTTGGGCAATATAAATACATGTCCGCGTGGAGTTTATTCCAAGTTTCAGCTGAACGAATTACAGTTCCGCAATACCAGCTCTTCCACGTGGATTTCGTGAATTTGGATTCAAATAAGAATCCAATAGCTGACAAATTTTGAACTTTATTCTCATCGAAAATTCTGGCGTACTAGCGTTGTGAACCTTTTTAGGCATTGCGCACACACACTGCGGATTAATGTACGTATTATCAATTTAAGCGCTGCGCGTGCCGGTTCTATTGTGTGTCTTTCTGAGTCAATGTCGATTCATAATAGTAACGAGCATACTCAGAGAGAATCGGGAGTGATTGCCGGAATAAGAATTTCCGTAGACTTGGCCAAGGCTACGCCAATTTGAATTGTTGGATTGAACCTCTGGTCAATGATTGATTTCCAATTTTCGGGATATCCCGTCCGTGAAAATAACGTGATCTATTCTCTTCAAGGGTCGGATTTTTATGAACTTGTCCATTGTTAATTTCTGGACTGCCTTTACGAATTCCGTGAAGGCTGTGGGGAAATTCCTGGGAACCGACTTTGGTTCACTCTACCGGGGTCAAAAGAGTTCGTCTTTTTTTATGATTCGTTTGCTAGTTTGAGGTTAAAATGCCTTACTCAGATGAGGTAATCTTGACTTGGCCTGCTGATTGAGCTACGCTTGCGATCAAATATAACCGGGTTTTTCAAGAACATTTTCATCGGTGTTTCACTCAGCAGGAAAGATGTCTGTGTCGCTAAGAAAGCAAATTGATGAAGTGCGTGTTAGTTCAGTGCTGAACCGAGATGCGAAGCAATATGGGAAAAAGCATTTATTTGACGGTTCATCGGACACGTCATGGAATTCGGACCCTGGTGAAGAACAATGGATTAAAGTGATGTTCTGCGACATGGTGGTGGTGGATAAAATCGCCATCCAGTTTCAAGGTGGATTCGCGTGTAAAGAGCTGGACGTGGTTGATGCGGATGATGCCATTGTGGAAACGTTCTATCCCGCAGATTCAAACAAAAAGCAAATCTTCGAGCTGACGGAACGGATGGGAGGTTATCTTGTGAAAATCGTGTTCAAGTCGTTTACGGATTTTTACGGGCGGGTAGTCGTGTATGATTTAGACTTATTCGGTGAAAATGCTGAGAAAGCTTGAAAAGATTATGTTCGACTGGTATAAGATGTTGTTGCTTACTCTCAGTTATGTGATTTTGTACCGCGATCCGTTATTTTTTTGTTGAACTTTTCGATCATGAAAGAGCTTTTTCGAATGACGAATCATTTTGTGAGCCAAACGTGATGTAATCATTCCACTGTTTCTTTTCCCTTACTTGCTGTATTTACTGAACTTGAATCGCATTTCTTTCCCAGTGAATATCGCTGTGGTTTTGTGTTTTTTGGATTGCCCTTGTGAATTTCGAAGGCAGCCATGGTGAGTAACGGCGAAGTTTTCTGTTTAGGTTGAGCTTGGATGGAATTCAAAATGTGTGCAAATTTTCAGCCCATCCGTCTTGATATTAAGCGAAAGCTGACTGCACGGTCTGACCGTGTTAAGTGCGTCGACCTTCATCCCACTGAGCCATGGGTGCTCGCATCGTTGTACAATGGACAAATGCACGTTTGGAACATTGAGAATCAACAGCTTGCTAGGGCTTTTGAGGTTAAAATTCATTGGGAAAAAAATTCGGTGAAAACCATGACATAATACTTTCATTTGCAGGTCTGCGATCTGCCTGTGCGCGCAGCCAAATTCATCCCCCGCAAGAATTGGATTGTGACGGGTTCAGATGACATGCAAGTTAGGGTATTCAACTATAACACGCTGGAAAAGGTTCACATGTTCGAAGCTCATTCCGACTATATTCGGTGTATTGTCGTTCATCCAACGCAGCCGTTTATTCTGACCTGCAGTGGTAAGTGCGGAACAATGAGCAATGATGTCCAGTGCTGCATAATTTGATGATCTGCAGATGATACTTTCATCAAGCTGTGGAACTGGGAAAAGGCGTGGGCTTGTCAGCAGGTCTTCGAAGGTCATACTCATTACGTGATGCAGATCGTGATCAATCCGAAGGACAACAATACTTTTGCCTCAGCGTCGCTTGATAGAACTGTCAAGGTTTGCTCGCTTTTTCAACCCTCATTCAAATTTGGCGCCTTTCGTAAATACGTTTCACGTTCTCGAGGAATGTTGCGTCTACCTAGAAGTGCGTCGTTTGCAAGAAAGCATCATCACATTGAACTTACGGTGCTCGACTCCCTTTCTTCGCTGACTTCAGAAGGAGATGAATTGCATCCTCCTTTAATTCACTCATTTTAAGCTCTACTTCCCCAAAGTGCGGCATTAATGAGAAAAGATCCTATTCATGCACGTGTTAAACATGCCAGGGTCGTTGGACCAGGAAACTGGTTCCTTTTTCCCCCATTTTGGAGACTCATTCGCGTGAAGGGCTTTTTTCTTTACTTTGAAGGAAAATGCGTAAAACTTTCCGCATTTTACTGCCGCTATAATGCGGGAAAGAATTCTTATTTCCCTTCTTTATTTTTCGAGAAAATGCACGAGTTGAGAATAGAAAACGCCCATCTCGTAACGATCTCTTGAATGACACAGGGAAATTGCAATTTGCTTAAAAAGCAGTGATGAACTGTTTTAAGCAAAGAAGTAAGAGGGAATTCGAAGGCTTTTTTTTTTTTTTAATTCATGAACTATTGATGCATTTGGTACCTTCGGTGGTAAATGTCACGCTTGGGAGAGGCCGATGAACGTTGCCGAGTGACATGAGCTACGCACTTGTAAGTCTAGAAATCCTTTGAATGTCTCAATATTCTTAATTTTCCCGAAGGTATGGCAGCTTGGCTCGCCAACGCCGAACTTCACGCTTGATGGTCACGAGAAAGGGGTGAATTGCGTGGATTATTATCATGGAGGCGACAAGCCGTACCTTATTTCTGGTGCTGATGATCGTTACGTCAAAATTTGGGATTACCAGAATAAAACCTGTGTACAGACATTGGAGGGTCATGCTCAGAATATTTCAGCTGGTGAGTTTTCGTCAATAAAATACAGTACTGTTGACTTTTATGGTTATTGGCAGAAGTATTGATCTCTAATCATTTTCTTAAAGTTTGTTTTCATCCGGAGCTGCCGATCATTTTGACCGGTTCTGAAGACGGAACTGTTAAAATTTGGCATTCAAGCACGTACAGGCTCGAGAACACGTTGAACTACGGCTTGGAGAGAGTTTGGACCATTTCTGCTTTCAAAGGTTCTAACAATGTCGCTTTGGGTTACGACGAAGGCAGCATTATTATCAAGGTTGGTTAACTCTGCTTGATTCTTCGAATTGTTGATAATTTTAATTTATTCTAAAGTTGGGTCGTGAAGAGCCAGCAATGTCGATGGATGCGAGCGGAAAGATAATCTGGGCTCGTCATTCCGAAGTCCAGCAGGCTAATTTGAAAGCAATGGGTGACGATTTTCAAGAAATCAAGGATGGGGAGAAGCTGCCCTTGGCTATTAAAGATATGGGTGCTTGTGAGATTTATCCTCAGACGATAGCTCATAATCCGAATGGGAGGTAAGTCAGTGTGCAGCCTTGGATTTCTGAAGTGTATGTTCGTAATTTCACGCAATAAATTCGCATTTGGTCTGGTTTGATGCGTAAGTAGGACTCCTCCTCAATTTTCGCGAGCAATGAGGCTACTGGAATTGATCCATGAACATTACACATTCGTACGAAATTTTTGTTCCAAAGTTTCTGTAAATTCAGTTTTATGCAAAATTTGCCTTCGAAAGCTGGGGAAGTACAGATCCCTGCTGAATGTTCTTCGCATACTTTCTAGCTGATTTCGCGTGTTCTGTGACGAAGAAAAAATGGCTGTTACCCTATTTTGATGCGAGACCGGGACAAATATTTTATTCAAATGTTTCCGTTCGCAGATTCGTCGTTGTTTGCGGAGATGGAGAATTCATAATTTACACAGCAATGGCTTTGAGAAACAAGGCGTTCGGGTCTGCTCAGGAGTTCGTAGTCAGTCCAAGGAGGGGCTGTCCGCTGATGGATATGAAACTGCGTTTGATGTGAGTTCAAAAGTATTTTATTTTCTGGATTCCATTACAGCGCCGATGTAGACATTCGTAGTATCTGTACGTAAGTACTGTAATGTACATGATTCGTTTTAATTTTAATTTTCTTCAAATTGTATTTATTTTATGTGGATCTGATTGCTATGCATTCGACAAAGTTTGAAAAGTATTTAGTTGATATCCCCTAGGTGTTGAAGCGAGATTTGTAAAAAAAAATTTTTTATACCAGTCGGCCTTTCATTTAGAAGCACAGTATCAGGAAACTTACGCCTCGATTAACAACCTGACCAGAAGTAAAATAGCCGACTGAACCAAAACTATGTCGAAATACTGTAGTATTCAAACTGATATACGCAGTTTTAAGTCCATTGGTCTTTTTTTAATTAACATCTCTTGGAAAAATTATACCCATCTCGGGGGACGCCTTGGCTATTCTTTTCTGCAATATGTATCTTTTAGTAAGGGCAGACTAGAGAGAGAGATTCTTCTTGCAAAAGAACCTGTTTATCTCTGCCTGATACTGTATAACCTAAGTTTGATTCGGCGTAAACCCAAAAAATTGAGTGACGGATTAAATTTGTTCTTTGTTTCTTATTGGAACCTTCTCCATTTAAAGTCTGAATTTAATATTAACCAATTTCCTAGGTCCTCGGAGAAGTTCCGGAGTCAGTGAAGACGGGACTGTGGGTAGGAGATTGCTTCATCTATACCAACGGAGTTAATAGGCTCAACTACTATGTTGGAGGAGAAATTGTGACTATTTCGCATCTTGATCGAACAATGTACCTTCTTGGGTACATACCGAAAGACTCCAGACTTTATCTTGGGGACAAGGAGCTGAACGTCGTGTCGTTTAAGCTGCTTCTGTCAGTTTTGGAGTATCAGACTGCTGTCATGCGGAAGGATTTCGATACCGCAGACAAGGTTTTGGTACAGATCCCGAAAGATCAACGTACTCGTGTCGCTCACTTCCTTGAAAAGCAGGTAAGTTGAACGTCTCTGTTGTGTTATTCGACGATAAAAGGAAGATGAACAGTGGAACGTTTTCTCTTGAAATAAAATGTGATTCGTGGGATAGTGCAAAATATAATTTATCAAGGTATGTTTCCTTGAAATTCCAGAAAATCCATACAGTATACAGTATTTGTTGTTCTCTTGAATAACCGCAAATCGTGATTCATGAGTCGCAAATTTAGTGGACTTACCTGAAGAGAATTCAAAACCTATCTCGTGCACATAGCTTTGGTGGAATGTTTTTTATTCTAACTTCATCCTCCATCACGATGCAATGCTGGAATTTACATCCGGATAGTGTTCAAAATGTGATTACCTGACTTACGTCGAAAAAAAACGAACAAATTGAGCATATTTAAAATTTTTTATTTGAAATTAGTCGCGGTTTTTGCGTGATTCTAAGTGTCGTACAATATTTATTCAAATTACAGAAATGCTCCGAAACAAATGATTTGTTTCATGGAGAGTGACGTTGTTGAGGAGCTGTTTGTGGAATGATCAAAGAACCAGCGACAAAATTCGATGCAGAGAACAGTTTTGTAGGCTAATCGTTGTAGTCGACGTGTTCTACAGTCTACTCAACATTATTCCAGAATTCCCCAAAGGGGTCTGAAACGCAACAATTCCCGTACAGTACTTTCATTTTAGATTTTTTGATAAATGAGGTTGAATAAATAGAAAAAAGGAACAGTTTCCACAGAACAACGATGCTTATATGCACAGTTATGCTGTAAAGCGAGCACAAATCGCGAGCACGAAGAGGAAAATAAATTCGTTTTTGAAAAACTTGATAAATTTTGTATTCCGTGAAGACTGACTTCAAACAAGTATCTCAAATTCGTTTTCGTTATCGGCCATATCGACCGTTACTTGAAATTGTGTACTGAAGATTCAAGGAATTCCAAGAGCCTCAAACTGAGTCTGCTCTGGCATTTACTATTGCAGGGATTCAAGCAACAAGCGCTGGCAGTGTCAACAGATCCAGAACACCGGTTCGAACTATCGGTCAACCTCGGCGAGTTGGAAACTGCGTATGGTTTAGCGCAACAACTGGGCTCTGAAAGCAAGTGGAGACAGCTATCGGATCTAGCCTTGTCCAAAGGCAAGTTCGATTTGGCGCAGGAGTGCCTGCATAAAGCCCAAGATTTTGGCGGTCTTTTGTTGATGGCGTCTGCTGCGGGCGACGCGGAAATCGTTAAGAAATTGCAGGACTCTTCATCCGCCGTCGGAAAGCACAACATCTCGTTCTTGTCTGCGTTTCTGCTCGGCGACTTGAACAAGTGTCTCGAGATCCTTCTTTCGGCTAATCGTGTCCCAGAAGCAGCTCTTTTCGCGAGGTGATTATAATTCCATTTGCTTTTTTTTAACTTTGATTTTGTCTGGTTTTAAACGGGTCTTTGACAATTTTAGAACGTATGTGCCGAGCCGAGTCAGCGAGATCGTCGATAATTGGAAGGCAAAATTATTGGAGGATGGGAAAGCAAAAGCTGCCCAGAGTTTGGCAGATCCGAAACAATACCCGAATCTTTTCCCTGAATTCGAGGATATGTTGAAAACGGAACAATTCTTGAAATCCGAAGCCGCTCTTCTCCCCGCTGTTCATGCTAGCCGATTGCCAGTGAGTTGAATCTTTTTTGTTGTTGTATAAAACTTGTTTTTCAGTGCCAGAATCCATGGTTCTTTTTATTTCAACGCCGACTCCTTGATTTTTTTTCGTATTTTAGAATGTTTCCTTAATTTTCGTGTGATCAAAAATGGATTCGAATTTTGAGGGGGAAACCGACTGAAAATTTGCCGTGTAAATCTCAAGTTTTCAAAAATGTTTTTTGTTTTGAATCAAAGACGACCATGGAACGGACTCCAATTGAGGAAATGAAGGCAGCGGAAGCGAGCGGCTCGTTCACATACGTTCCACCCGTAGCGAAGGAAGTTGAGAAACCAGAGGACGTTAAAGACGATGGGAGCGAAGAATAAAACCTACGACTACTTCTCCTTTTCGGACACTTTAGTCTTTAACGGGGCGGTTGCGGCCAAGTCGCACGACTTTCGCGCAGCCAAGTCCGACGTGGCGGTCGGTCGGCACTATAACTGCTCAACCTTTTGGAGATTGAAAACCTCGAGATTGATGATGCGGACGTCGATGTCGACGTGAGTACTGTTCAATGATCTTAGGTGTCGATACCTGTGCAGTACTGTATTTCTTTCTTATTATTTCTGACGATCAGTGTAGCGTTACATACGTGTCCTGCAAGTTAGATGTAGGGCTGTACAATAAAGCTAAGTCATATTTTGTTTTTCATATTCTCCGAGTTTGTTATTGTCGATGGCTGATTTGATACAATTCCCGCTGTTTGTTGATCGCGGAATGGATAATCTTCGTACAGTACAGTAATTCTAAATCCCTGTTCGTGCTTGATGATAGCCTGTTTGTACTTCCAAGTTTAAGGATTTCTAGGTGTTTTTCCAAGCTATTTAGGGAGTCGCGGGAAGTTTTGCTCTCGATTCCGGATCCCATTCTCGTGTTGCTAAAAATTTATATTCCCTGAAATTAAAGTTTCAATTACTGTAGTACTGTATTTAATTTTCAATGCTGTAAAACAGACAATCGTTAAACTGCGCGGGTAAACTTGCGGTTAGTTTGGATAATATTTAGTTGAAGGCTTCAATGTTGGAAAAATTGAAATATTATCGTTTTGTGAATGGAATAAACATGAAACTCTTGGATCTAGAGTGCACTTGCTGTAAGGACCTGCAGAGTGCAGCACTTAACGATTTTAAAGATTTTTCGAAAATGAAGAAATAATCCTTCACTGTTTTTGTCATTAGCGAGAGAATTCGTTTTTGGTCGATAAAGTACATTTTTTCAACTTGAAATCTCTCGTGCTGTGTAATTTTGAGTATTTCTTCGCAGTGTTTTTTTTTCTTTCGCCTGTATTCAAAAGAAGTGACGAAGTTGTCGAAACTTTTTGTTCAGATTTTCCGTTCGAGTGTGAGAGGATTCGGAGGATTATTAATCTTGGTTTATGTGATATACAGGATTTCTGTGAAGAGGAACTGTTGGAAGATTGAGAACCTTGCACTGAAGTGGTTCTAATATTGGTTGGTTTGCTTGTTCACTTCCGTCATTCCGGAATGGTTTCATTGTTTTCGTGGATGATTTTGGATGCTGATGAAGAGGAAAAGCCTGTGAAATCAGAAATTGCCCCGCCAACGCCGGTTCAGCGTGCTGAAAGCGCGTCGGTTCAGGCTGCACCGCCAGCCAGCCGTGATATTGACGAGTTGGACTTGGAGATAGAAAACCTCGAGATTGATGATGCGGACGTCGATGTCGACGTGAGTACTGTTGAATGATCTTAGGTGTCGATACCTGTGCAGTACTGTATTTCTTTCTTATTATTTCTGACGATCAGTGTAGCGTTACATACGTGTCCTGCAAGTTAGATGTAGGGCTGTAGAATAAAGCTAAGTCATATTTTGTTTTTCATATTCTCCGAGTTTGTTATTGTCGATGGCTGATTTGATAAAATTCCCGCTGTTTGTTGATCGAGGAATGGATAATCTTCGTACAGTACAGTATTTCTAAATCCCTGTTCGTGCTTGATGATAGCCTGTTTGTACTTCCAAGTTTAAGGATTTCTAGGTTTTTTCCAAGCTATTTAGGGAGGCGCGGGAAGCTTTGCTCTCGATTCCGGATCCCATTCTCGTGTTGCTAAAAATTTATATTCCCTGAAATTAAAGTTTCAATTACTGTAGTATTTTCTATGCTGTAAAACAGAAAATCGTTGAACTGCGCGGGTAAAGTTGCGGTTGGTTTGGATAATAATTGGTGAAGGCTTCAATGTTGGAAAAATTGAAATATTATCGTTTTGTGAGTGGAATAAACATGAAACTCCTGGATCTAGAGTGCACTTGCTGTAAGGACCTGCAGAGTGCAGCACTTAACGATTTTCAAGATGTTTCGAAAATGAAGAAATAATCCTTCACTGTTTTTGTCATTAGCGAGAGAATTCGTTTCTGGTCGATAAAGTACAGTACATTTTTCCAACTTGAAATCTCTCGTGATGTGTAATTTTGAGTATTTCTTCGCGGTGTTTTTTTTTTCTCGCCTGTATTCAAAAGAAGTGACGGAGGTGTCGAAACTTTTTGTTCAGATTTTCCGTTCGAGTGTGAGAGGATTCAGAGGATTATTAATCTTGGTTTATGTGTTATACAGGATTTCTGTGAAGAGGAACTGTTGGAAGATTGAGAACCTTGCACTGAAGTGGTTCTAATATTGGTTGGTTTGCTTGTTCACTTCCGTCATTCCGGAATGGTTTCATTGTTTTCGTGGATGTTCTTCTCTTCTTTCGTGTTCGGATTTGGTGACGATGAATCGAGAGCGGATAAGCAGAACCCACATTGCTGAACCCTTTGGGGAGTGATTCCTTTTCCGTTTCGCGTTTGCGTGAGTTTTTTTGGGGATGGATTCAGCTGAACTGGAAGAGCACGAGAGTATTTTGCAAAATTGGGACGCAGCCTGGATTATGTTAAGTTATCGAATATTTTATCTCGTTGCGGCTTGCGAAATGAAAATCCTTGGATGGAAACCCGCCGAACATTCCTTCCTTTCAAGACACGTCAAGTGTTTACTGATCATGAAGAAAGTGAATCGTCGGATATCGTTACGTGAAATCGCAGACGCACATCTGAAGTACGCTTGTTGGATGATGCATCAGCTGAAACGATAATTACCCAGGCGTGGTCTTCGGCATACGCTGGATCTAGTTGTATGGCAAATTTGATTAGAGGTGAGGTTGACATCTATCTTGTACACAACATTTCTAGAACTTATTACATTACTTTTTTAAAACTATGGCTTAGCAAGCATTCTGTAACTAGATATGCTGGAATGGAGATCAGCTATTTCAGTTCAAATGCAAGAAAAGAAAAAAAGAAGTACGCTGTACTTCGTGATTTTTCCTATTTACTGCTACCCTGGATGACTTCTGGAAAGATGTCAGTGTTCTGTTTCTGCGTCTTCCAATGTGGAAGACCTGTTGCAGACATTTTTCTCAGTGCATTTCCTGCAAGAAACTGATTAACTTCTGTATTTAGTGGACTTCAAAGGGATAAATTAGTCAAATATCGTATTTACTTGAGTGCCACATGCACCTTTTTTCTAAAAATTCAGAGAAAAAAGGAAGCTTGCGTCATATGTGGGCATATATTTTTCGAAAATTTTTTGAAGTTAATATGTGCATTATATTGTACTCGATTGTACAGTAATTGGAAATTTTGGACCAATTTAATGTTAATCAGAAAATTTTTTTATGGAAACAATTGAAAGTTGGTTGAATTCATGATTAAATCATGTCTAAATTCAAATTTGTATGTTCTCATTTTTGAAATACATCAGTGAATTGCAGTTTTAGAGTATCTAGAATGGAGTGCCTGTGATATTTTGGGATGTAATTTTAATCAAAATTTTAGACTGGAAATCCTGGGTGCAGGTTTTACTTGAGGATGTATGGTACTTCAGTAAATATTTCAATTCTGCCTCAAGTTCTCCAGTGCCCAAAAGAACTAGCTATTTTTTTTTTAAATTTATCCATGATAATTATGATGGGAGTTGAATTCTTTAATGTACAGGTGGACTTCCTCTTCAACAATCTCATCTACAATGGTTTTCTCTGTACTGTATAAATACAATTTTTGGTCCCATAGGTTTCTGGTCCCCTGAATTTTGTTATGGAGAGAATCCATCTGTATTTATTCCTTTCTCAGTACAGTGTGCTTGTACAATCTGCACTCCTGCTTTAGCCTAGAGTCAAACGGACCAACATTCCCGGATTTCCTGTTATAAATGATGCGTAGTACACTTTTACAAGTTCTACCGCTAGTTGAAATTCGTCAATAGCTTCCTTCCGCACTGAAAACCGCAGATCGAGGTTCGGTTTTCCATGAACAACTGACGTAACAGAACACAGTTGGTATGAACATTCAGAAAACGCCACAGGTGTATGAAGACAATACTTATGAGAACGTAGAGAAGATTCGTGGACCGAGACCTTGAAGAGGCAACGCCTGATGTGTGTAGGAGTTTGAAGAAGGCAGTTCGCCGTTGCTCATAAAAAAAAAAAGGAAGTGTTCAAAGCCGGGAACGAATTCGCTGGCGGAGGAAGCATTAGCTGCTGTGGAGCAGGGATGTAACTAGTTGCACAGGTCAACTTGAGTGACGAAGTCCAAAAGTTCAACGCGGACAAATTAACTGCATCCATACTGGAGAGTGACTGCATGTAGTTAAAAGCAATGCATGGAATAGAATACACTAGTGACTAGTGCTCCCAAACCCGTTGTCCGCGAACTGGCGCCAGTCTGACAAAATTTTTTGCTGGCCCTTGGGAAATTTTCTTCAGCATGATAAATTTGTCAATAGAAGCAATGAAGTTTGCTATGAACCTGTCTGAAATTTTGGAAAGACAATATCGCAGTTGAAATTATCTGCTGAAAAATAAATGTTGGCTTTTCTCCTAATAACACATTGTCGCGAAATTTATTAGAGTCGGAGGATGAGTTTGGCTGGCGCCAAACTCATCCTCCCGTTAATCCCGTGGGAACCCGAGGTCGCCGAAACTCTCT